TAAATTTATCGTCCTTCTGGTTGATTCGCCGCTGCAACCAGTCTGGATGGGCGACACGAGGCACGGGGTTTCTCAGCTTCTGGAGAGCTGCTGGAATAGTGATGAGCTTCTGGACGACGGATCCCAGACGCTCCAGGTAGTAGTCCCAGTCAATGATAGAGCGAGGGTCCATATCACCGGGGTCGTCCTTGAGCCATTTGCGGAGGAAGAAGCGCTTGACACTCTCTTCAGCGGAGAAGATAGTGACAGGTATCGCTCTCTCGGTGACAGGCGTGTTCCTTGGCCTCGACGAGATAATGTACTTGCAGTTCAAACCTTTGTCCTTGACCATCTGCTCGCCCAGGAATTCTGCGAGACGTCTCGCAGTGGTGATGGATGTAGACTTTTGGTTTCCATATTCTTCCAGGGTCTTCGTCATACTGCGATTCTCCGAAATCAGGTCAATCAGCTCTTCGTCTGCTAGCGTAGCTCCGTGCTCATAAAGCACATCCAACCATCGGTCGGCGACTCGAGCCACGGCGGCATACGTCTCCGCTAGGTTGCTGCCTTCAAGGAAGAACTTGAAGATCTGAGTTTGGAAGATCTTGATCAGCTTGAGCTCTCCTCTTCGCTTGACCTCGAATCCCTTCAACTCGGCCAGTGATCCATCGTGGTTGAATACTGCATATCGTTTCTTCAGGTTCTTGTCTTCCTCTTTGGATGTTGGCAAAATCATCGCTCGGTAAGGCCCATCAACCTCGAAGAAGATGGAGTTCTCACTGTAGGTCTCGTACTTGTAGGTGGATGGGTCGACCAGGGCCTGGTACTGGTGGTTCGTGTATCGCGCATGGACGAGGTGGTTCAGCATGACACAAGGGTATGAGATACTCAATTTCTTGCCATTCTTCAGGGTGAAGGTAAAGTTCTCAGGGAAAGTACCTGGCAACATGCACCAGATACCATCAGTATCCAATTCCAGCGGGCGTCCAATGCGTTCGACAAGCTCTCGTGCCATTTGAATGATGTGGGCACCCGTCAGACAAGTGACACCGGCCATTTCCATGGAGTACCATCGAGAACCTTTTCGCATCACATAACCGTAGAAACTGTTCAGGATGACCTTGTGGGCAAGTTGCAACGAATCGAACAGAATAATCATCTTCTTCGCCTCGTCGATCTCAGCTGCAGAAGCCCCCGATGATTGGAGTGACTCGGTCTTATTCTTCCAGACTTTTTGCTTGCCCTTGAAGTCGTATCGTCGATCACGGAAGCTTCGCACAGTGTCGACATAGAACGGGTTCTCTCTCTGGCAAATGATTGCTTCTCGGATGATAGTCTTGCTGTCATGGATTTTGTGATAAATCTTCTTGCTGTAGTCTTGGAGACGCTTCTTCACTACCCCGGCTTGTTCTTCGATGCTGAGATCCTCGAATGATCGCAACAACCCATTTTTCCTTTGGCTGGGGAATCGTTCATTCGTCGTGGCCCGTCGAATCATGTTGTACTCATCACGCTTTGCGGGCAGAAATTCACCGCGCCAAGCCCAGGGCATACGCCTGTCGCAGGTCTTTCCGGGGCGGTTAAAATCGCAAGCGGCACAATCTGATTCATCAATCATGGAATCGGGCTGAAGACGATTGGTGATCATGATATTCGGGTACATCGAAGCAACATCCAAGTGATAAATGAACGGAACCTCATTTCGGCTGGGGTTGTTTTTTAGGTCCAACAGTTTCTCGGCGATCTGAGCTTTCACTTCGTCGAAGTTCACAACGTCGTCCAAAGACTTCTTTTCCTCAACTTCGATACTGAACTTGAGAGCATGGTCCAAATCTCGGAGGAGCTCGTCGATTGCTTTGGGGTCAACATTGAATCCTGTGGGAATGTCGCTACGGAAAACACCAGCTTCAATACTTTCGACGTGGCCACCGACATAGGTCTGCGACTCGAGCAGATGACCTTCGTAGAAAGCCTCTGGTGGATCCTTGTGTTTGTTGGGCAGGACAATCTCAGTCTTGTATGCCTCAACCATGAGCAGCATCTCGCACAGAGTTCCAGTTCCCTTGCGCAGGGTATCATCGGGGCTGAGTGGAATGATAGTACACAGAGAAAAGATGAATGGATGCACATATTTCATGTACAGGTAGTACGTCGCAACGGCATCGGAAACGGAGTACTCGGCCAGGGTTTGTGGGCGTTCACTCGCATAAGGCGTCATCAGTTCAGGGTCAAGTTCGTCGGGATCGTAGCCAAGCTTCGCGACAGTCACGGCTTTCAGACCACGACTTCCTTGAGGAAGGTAACTGTCACGACTGACCCATGCGAAACAGTCCATGTGGACACAGTTGTCGCTTTGGTAGATGTCCTCGCTGTTCTTTCGGAAGCCAATCTCCATGTACATGTCGATTCCCTGCACGCTAGCCCTCGCTTCCACGAAAGGCCAATCGAAGAAGTCACCGTTGTACGTGGCAATGACTGTTGGCTTGGCAATCTTGATATGCTCAAAGAATCGCTCAATAACAGCTCTTTCGTTGGGTTCGTTGAAAATGATGAAGGGTCCATTATACTCTGGCTTTGGGGTGTATTCGAAGTCGTTGATGTCTTCGGACACAATCTCTCTGTTGGTGATCAAGAAGCCTTGCCCGTCGATCATGTACGAGATCATCATGATCTGATCGATCACCGCATCGGGGAACTTGAGAGGTAGTTTCGTTGTCTCGATATCGAAGGCCAACACAACAGGATCGGCACGCTGGAGCCGTTCTTCCAGGCACTTCAAAGATATAACGCCATGTTTTGCTTCCACATCATACCATTTTCCAATTCGGATATCTATGAAACGGGGGTGTCAGAAGGGTTTCCACATAGTCTAGGACCAAATGACCATCACGTACCCTTGTCAATCGAGACTCGAACATGGTACGGAACGTCGTACTCTCGAATATCAACAATAAAGTCACTCGCTTGCATATTTCCATTAGATCGTTGCTCATTAATTATTTCGTCGTCAAAAAGGTCGAAGCCAGTTGTGGCACTATATGGGGAAACATGGTAAGCACGGGCACACCTCACGAACTCATGAAGAAAAGACGAAAACAAACCTGGTCATTTCGACGTATGCATCCATCACATTCGCATTTTTCTTGTTTTTCTCAGCCAATGGGAGCAGAGTTCGGCGGACCTCAAGCAGATTGGGCACATTGGCAAAGTTCAATCTGATAAATGTTCTCCGGTGTCCAAGCAAGTGGTTTGGCAGGTTCAGGTCTTCTTTGTCTAGACGCTTGAAACTCTTGATCAAGCCTTCAAAGGCTCTCCGACACCACTCCTCCACTTCCATCTCATGGCCTTTCTTGACCGCGATCAGGAAATAGGGATCGTATTCCACCGTGGCCTTGAAACTGCCACCGTCATCTTGGAGGAAATAGTAGTCCACACCTGCACGACCTCCCGGTACATTCGGGTCCTGTATCGTGGTGCTGTGCATATTGATGAGCCAGCCGGCCCTCGTCTCGCCCGACTCGAACCGCGGAAAGCCCAGGGTTTCATCGATGCTGTTGGCCAACCGAATGGCCTCGAATTTCTCATCTTGGGATGTTGCTTCGCTGGACCGGAGGGATCCGAATTCGACCGTCTTTGTTCGTCGAGGATTTGAAGATGCCGCGCTGGATCGGAATTTGTTCCCAAACTTGCTGGGTTTGCGCGAAGGCATTGCGACACTGGCGCCCGGCCGGGCTTTTCAAAGTAGGGTTGGCGGCAGGTGTGTGGTGTTTAGAACATAAATTTGGCGGGATTGTGGAAGTTAACTGGTGTTGGCTATCAGAAAGATGCAAGACGACGTAGGCGTGGTAAGATGTTCAAGGCCAATGGCTAATCGGAGGGCCTAGCAACGACCTGCGACTCTGCTCTAATCCAGTCGATCGCAACCGCTTTTCTCGACGCGTCCGCGTATCTGCAAGGCCCTGGCACGCGTCAGGGTTAGTCAGCCCTCTCCCGGAATAACTATCTATATCTGGATGCACCGGAACATCTTATGATCCGCCTGTACTACTGTGGTTATCAGCATTTTGGCCCGCCGAGCTGCTCGCCGATCGAAGAGAGGACAAGTCGCTAAGCTTGACAAATATGGCCGGGGACCCTCGAGAGTCCAGCTCCTCGCAGGAGCCTGGTAGCCACCTCCCCGCCAGCATCCCGAATACCGACCCGAAGAAGCCAAAGCATGATTTCCCGCAATCGCAAGTCGGGAAGTTATGGGATGCCTTTGGCAACCCCGAAGAACCCGTGAACGCCCTCGCCAACGCAACGTACAAGCCCCGGGGCAAGGACCCCAAAGATGTCTCATACTCCGAAGTTGTCGGCACAATATCCATGTCCGAAATATCGTCCTTTTACAAAGTACCATGCGCACGTGAATCGCTTTTGACTGGAATTGGCGCTGGATTTGGTATTGGTGGTACCCGAGCTGTCTTTGGAGGTATGTGCATTCATTCTAGCATTGCGAAGTTAAACATATACCTAATTTTTCAAAGGAATGCGCTCATTATGGTCTGCCGGAAACTGGGCAGTTGGAGTGTTCGCAGTCACCTCTCTGGGAGCATACGAGTTCTGTCGACGACGCCGGATCCAAGAATTGCATGGAATGAAAGAAGCAGTCGAACTCATGAAGGAATTAAAGGAAAAGAAACAACGGGACAAGGAAAGAGCTGCTGAAGAGGCTGCCCGGCGGGCAGAGGAAGAGAAGAGAAAAAAGAGTTGGACGAATCTCTCCAACTACAAGTTCTGGTAGTATTGCTCTTTCATGAGTCGGAGTCACGGTGTTTGTACGATATATCCCAGGTTGTATATTCCAAAAATCATATGCTATGGCGATTGGCATCATGTCATAAGTCATATCTGTGTATCATAGCGCCCAAATATTCCATGTTAGTATTCAAATAAATCCCCAATCATGCTCCGGTACACCAACTCCCGAGTACTCCTCAAAAATGCCAGATGAGTCCTGAATGGTGGCAGAAAGGAGACGTTCACTGTCTGTCTTGTACATCGAACTTGACTCGTTTCTGGATAGCACCTTCTTGTATGCTGTGAAGCTTGTCCATGTCAGAGCTGTCATTCCTCTTGGCTCGTCGCTTCTCACGAGCTTCTCGTGCCTCCCGGGACTTCCATTCGGCAACTTGGCGTTGTCGTTTCTGAGACCGAGCCCACGCAATGGCTGCTGTTGGCTTAAATCCCACACCGTTGATTCCATAGCCATCATCTGTTGGATCGGTCGGGTTATGTCCGGTAATTTCGTGGTCATGCCATGTGAACGGATCATCCAGAGGAACATCTGAGGGTGGAGGGGATGATCGCTGCTTGCGACCTTTGGAAGGCGATGCGAGATCACTTTTTTGTTGTGAAGATGGATCTGACCTCTTTTTTGAGGGCGTAGAAGCAGGTGTGACAAGGGCATTGTCTGAGATGTGATGTGTTGCCGTTGCCGAATCTGAACCGATGCGGTGGCTTCCCAGCTCGTGGGCATGAGCTTGCAAGGGTTCAGCCATGCCCATAGAGCCTCGGTCGTGGCTTTTGGCGATACATGTTGCCTGTTCCGGCTGTAGCGTGTATGGTTGCTGGAGGTCGCGATTTGAACCTCCACGTTCTGGAAGACGCTCTCCACGAATGGCCAAATCTTTGAAACGTCCCGCCACCGCTGCCCGAGGGCTATACCTCCCCGGCTCAGTCTCCTCGCGAATCAGGGCTTCTTGTAGACTAGCGACAGAGACCGTCGAAGTTGGCGATGCGGATGGGCTATAATAGTCCGACTCGGAAGGTTCTCGTTTGCGCTTAGGCGAGAAATATCTTGGGGGGTTTGTCGTCATCATCGTTGGGCTGAGGTGGGAGGAAGTTGTTGGGGAGGGGCGCCGAAGCCGATCAACCCTAAGGATCGCATTCAGAAAGTACAGTGTAGTGCCGGCCCCGTTCACCATTCAGCAAGGACGGGGGCCATGGTGCAGCAATCCCCGTCGGTTGGTGCGGAGATCAAAGTGAGGGGCAGGTCACTGGACGTTCGGGTGTGAGTTGATTTTCCGGGGGCCCATCGGTCTTTTCATACAGGGGGGCAGCATTGAACCTCTTCGCTCATGGCCCCGACAGAAATGACCCAGCTTATGGTAACCTCGATCGGAGGCAGTCGCACCGATCAATTTAAAATGGCAGCTAAATAGGTTTGAGATTGTCTAGTAGAGATTGTAATCCGGATCTGATAACAAAGCATCCCGATGTGAGTCTTGGAAGGGCCGTGGATTAGTATCATGTGGACAATGCCGTACCAGCTCCATTTGAGGACTATAGATGTTCTAGCTGACCAACTAAATGACTGGTGATACATGTTCAGGCCGGAGGATGTAGACTTCTGATTGCAGTTGAGAGTTGAGAATCTGGTCACGCGAAAGAGAGCAAAATCTTATTGCCGCAAAGGGCCTAAAATCGAATAAATTACAGATCCCCGAGCCCATCGAGTCGTGAACAAGATTGAGAAACATGAAAAGAAAAGGAGAAAAGAAAATCCCAACGCCATGACGAAGACTCCCAGTACCAAAACAAAGCGCTTTTATGCCTTTTGCTTCTTCTTCGAAGGCTCAGCATCGGTGTCGTGCTTGCGCTTCTTCTTCTTCTCGGACTCGCCCTCGCCAACATCGGACTTGCGCTTCTTCTTCTTGTCGCTCTTGTCGCTCTTGTCCTTCTTTTCCTTCTTCTCCTTCTTGTCTTTCTTCTCCTTCTTATCCTTGACATCAGCGTCCTCCATCTCGGCATCACTGTCATCAACGTCAACGTCAATACCAGCCAGCACGGCATCCATAGCGGATTTCTATTGAATTCATGTCAGCGAAATGTTAATCTTGAGATCAGAGACTTTTGTTTGACATACCATGGCGACCTCATTCTTGGTGGGGGCAGCACCAGTAGAGTAGAACTCCAGGCGCTCCTCAACCTGCTGCTTCAGAGCCTCACCGAACTTGGTGGTGGGGGCCTCGGAGAAGTTATCGATACGGGAAGCGATCGAGCACTTATTGGCAAGGAAGCGGGAGATACGACCCTTGTTCTTGGGGCCAGCACGGCCAATGAAGGAGGAGTGGTAGAGCAGACCGTACTTGGGGGTGTTACCCTTGGTCTTCAGAGCACGGAACAGAGCCTTCTCGGCACCGAGAATCTGGACAGTAGAGGCAGGGTACTTGGACAAGTTGGTCAAGCTACCAGCGTGGGAAATCAGGCGAGCACCAACGATCTCACCGATCAGCGCAGCAAGATTGGGAGCAACGACGCTCATCTTGGACACGAGGTACTGGTGAAGAGACTTGCGGTACTTGGCGATGCTCACAACGCGCTCGGCGAAAGCAATGACGTTCTCCATGTCGGAGTCGGAGATATCCTGACCCATACTGCGCTTGGCAGCATCAATGATGCTTTGAGCAACACCCTTGTCATCCTCCACAAGGGCGGCCAGATCGTGCAGGCTGTCATCAGTCAGGCTCTTCTTGTCCTTGACGAAGAGAGCAAGCTGGGCATAGCGCTGGTTGTCGGAGACGATCTTTACCAGCTCGGGGAAGTGCCAGGAGTACCATTCGCGAACACGCATGGAGAAAGTGTTGATAGCCTTGTCAAGCTGGTCCAGGATAGCAATGGCCTGGATGATGTGGTTGTCGTCACGCTGGACAGAGAACTTGACCTTGGCACGAGAGTAGGCGTGACCGAGACCGAGCTGGGCGGTATCCATATCGCCCTCGCGGAGCTGGGTCAGCAGCTTGGGGAAGTGCAGACGAATGCCACGGAGGAGGTCCTGAACAACCTCGCTAGTGTCGCCAGTCTCGCAGTCCACGAAGGAGAAGGCGGACTTGATGCTACCAGCGAGACCCTTGTCGCACAGACCGAGGACGACCTTCTTCTTCTTGCTCGGCTTGGGGAGATTGAGATCAAGGAATGAAACGAGGTTCTCAGACGCGACACCTTCCGAAACGTCGTTGATTTCACCGAGAGCATGCTTGTTGTTTCTACAGAACATTAGCGAGGACTCCTATGACGAAGAACCCCCAAAAAATTCGCATCCGGGTAAGACATACTCAAAAGGCATGAAACTGGCAAGGTTGACCATCTTGCCGAACTTGGCGAGGTCGTTAACGCCAGCCTGGACTTCCTTCAGGCGGTTGCCCACGGCGTCGCCCTGCAGAGCGACCTTGAAAAGCGAGTAGCCCATGGGGCTCTCGAAGAGGAGAAAATCGGCCATGGCGCTGGTCTGGAGGCCAAATCAAATCGCAAAGTTGGCCAAAATACAATTGTGACAGCGGGAATCCAGAAACAGCACAACGAACGAACCGGTGGGTTGCTGTTGTCGGACGTTCAAAAGGGCGGGAGACAAAAGTCGAAGAAATCGAGAAAGCTCTTTTTTTTCGCCGCTAGTGCGAATCCGTGAATGTGGGCTTTTTGCCCAAAATCATCTCACCGCCTTTACCGTCCATCGCGGGCAACCAAACTCCTGTGGGTTGCTCGCTGCTAGCTCCCTAACCCATTCCCATTACGATTTTTCTCTTGGGCTAAGCTCCCGGTCGTTCATTTTAACCGCAGATATGTCTGCGACCCAGCTGCTAAACCCCAAGGCGGAGTCCCGGGTATGGAATGCTACTCCCCTGTACAACCCCTCCGTGGCCCGCACTAACATTTCGTCTAGCGACGTGGAGAGGCGTTGAAGGTCAACATCAGCGCTGGAGAGGGCCTCCAGGATGTCCTCAAGTCGAACTTGGGTCCTTCAGGAACACTGAAGATGTGAGCCTCTAAATCTACCCATCGATGTTCGTGACATAGCTAACAAACCCTCAGGCTGGTGGACGGTGCCGGTGGAGTACGCAATGTTCCCCTTTACCCATGGAATACAACGAAGCAGTTTATTAAATATGGTGGTGTTATGACAGATCAAATTGACCAAGGATGGAAATGTTTTGTTGCGTGAAATGGTTAGTCTTGAAACCCGCAAGGTCTCTGTCCGAGGATCCATGTGCTAACATTTTAACAGCAAATCCAAAACCCCACGGCTGTAAGACAAGACTTCGCTGGCATCGACTCGGATCCTCGCTGATAATATTGAAAGGTTATGATTGCTCGTGCAGCAACTGCCCAGGACGACATCACGGGTGATGGCACGACATCGGTCGTTCTCTCGGTTGGAGAGCTCCTGAAGCAGGCGGATCGTCATATCTCGGAGGGTCTTCACCCCCGTGTGATTACCGATGGCTATGAGATCGCCAAGACTGAGGCACTGAAGGTACTGAATAAATATGATCATTATCAGTAGCTAGTCTGACCCTCTCTGCAGTTCCTCGACAACTTCAAGCTTGAGCGGACCATTGACCGAGAACTCCTCCTTTCCGTCGCCCGCACATCTCTTTCCACCAAGTTGAACAATGCCCTCGCCGAAAAGCTCACTCCCGACATTGTTGATGCTGTCCTTGCCATTCACCATGTCCCCGAGAAGCCCGATCTGCACATGATTGAGATCATGACCATGCAGCACCGCACATCATCCGATACCCAGCTGATCCGTGGTCTGGCTTTGGACCACGGTGCTCGTCACCCTGATATGCCAAAGCGTGTGGAGAACGCCTTCATCTTGACGCTGAATGTCAGTCTGGAGTACGAAAAGTCCGAGATTAACTCTGGCTTCTACTACTCTAGTGCCGAGCAGAGAGACAAGTTGGTGGAAAGCGAGCGCAAGTTCGTCGATGCGAAGTTGCAAAAGATTGTGGATCTCAAGAAGCAAGTTTGCGGTAACGACCCCAAGAAGGGGTTCGTTGTGATCAACCAGAAGGGTATCGATCCCTTGAGTCTCGATATCCTCGTCAAAAACGGCATCATGGCTCTGCGGAGAGCTAAGCGGAGAAACATGGAGCGTCTGCAGCTGGTTTGCGGTGGAATTGCCCAGAACAGTGTCGATGATATGACACCTGATGTCCTTGGCTGGGCCGGCCTGGTCTACGAGCACCAGCTTGGCGAGGAGAAGTACACCTTCGTCGAGGAGGTCAAGGACCCCAAGTCCGTGACTATTCTTATCAAGGGTCCCAACGCCCACACTATCGCTCAGGTCAAGGACGCCGTCCGTGATGGTCTCCGCTCCGTTTACAACACGATCGTCGATGGCTGTGTAATTCCCGGAGCTGGTGCATTCCAGGTCGCTTGCGCCCAGCACTTGAAGTCGGACAGCTTCACCAAGACCGTGAAGGGCAAGGCTAAGTGGGGCGTCGAGGCCTTTGCTGATGCACTCCTGGTTATTCCCAAGACACTCGCTGCCAACTCTGGCCACGATGTCCAGGATTCCTTGGCCGCGATGCAGGACGAGGGTAAAGACGGTGCTGTCGTCGGCTTGGACCTGAACACTGGTCTTCCGATGGATCCCGTTCAAGCAGGTGTCTTCGACTCGTACCGTGTGCTCCGAAACTGCGTTGCCTCCAGCACTGGTATCGCTTCTAACCTTCTGCTCTGCGACGAGCTGCTGAAGGCTCGGCAGATGAGCAAGTCGAGTGGTCCCGGTGGTATGGAAGAGTAACGCGCCTTTGGTTGACGATGGTGGTTTCATGTAAACAATTAGATGATCTTGGGTACCGGATACTTTTGATGCCTTTTAAGGGTCCAGTCCTCTCAAAAAGAAATGCACACATTAATTGCACAAGGTTTACCAATTACTCTTTACGAAAGCACAGCTAGCCAAGACCCACGAATTAACAGGTCTGTTGGGTCTCTTTCTAGTGTTAAAGCACAGGCATGTGTACTCATGAATAGAATCACACAAGGGCTTTAGTTCTCATACATAGTGCTCGTCATTATTATTGTCGTAACTTCAGTAACGAAAATTCGCTATCGTACATGGTCTTCTCAATGTCAAACTATGACGGAATTACTCATCCTCCTTCTCCTCTGATGCATCATCGGTGCCTTCAGAGACGGCAACAGAAGGGAATTCTACCACAAACCCGTCATCTCTGACCGGATCTTCAAGTGATAAGTGATGAGTCTTTGCCCATTCCCAGATATCGGCTTTGTGAATGACAATTTTCGGACTCTCCTTTGGTTCGTCATCGCCCATCAGACGACTCAATTTGCGCTTCTTGGGAGTTGTATCAGGTCGAATAACGCCCATGCTTTTCACGGCGGTGATCACATCTTCAGTCAGCATTCCTGTAGCTTGACCGATCTCCTCGACAGTCATGTACTCGCGAGGGGGCTTTTTCCGCGAAGCTTTCGACGGTGAGGGTTTTGGAGCCTTTTGGTGCTCCGCTCCAGATTTGCGCTTGCCACACAGCAAGTATCGCGCAATCCGCTCGGCCCAGAAGCGATTGTAGCTTTTCTGGCCCAAGTCACTGAGAGGTTTCTCTGGTCCTCCTATATATCCACCAGCATATTCCCATCCACTAAGCTTGTAGCTCACCCCCATCAGAAGCTTTCCAAGTTGCCTATGCTGATATGGCGGGAAGACACAGATACACGCGAGATTGTTTGAGTCCCAGGAGAGCTTTTCCTTTGAGAAAAAGCCCAGGACGTGGTAATTATCGGGATTGTCCGGGTCGGTAAAGGTGAGTATGTAGTAAAGGAAGGTTGCAACGTCGAAAAAGACCGTCTTATGATCAAGGAAGAGTTTGGCAAACAGGGACAGGTTCTGTCCGAAGAGCTTGTGGTCCTCGCCGTCTACCTCCCAAACAGCGTACCCACCATGCTCGTATACTTTGGTACCGGGCGGCGTTGTGCGATGGACACAGGCCCGTGTGTGTTCTGCAAATGCAACTTTATCGCAAGAATATCTGAAACACCAGCGACAAACATAGAGGTATTCGGCATCCTTGGCGACCAGGTCCTCCGGGTAGATTGACTGGTACCACGGCTTGAATAGCAGGTCACCAAGTACGACATTCTTCACGTTGCGATCGCCCGGGTTTTGAAGGCTTGAAGATGATTTTCCGGCGGCCATTGGTGCGCTCTGGATCTCGAAAAGTATGCAGGTTGCTTCGGTCGCTCCTAGACTTCGAGGGTTGGTGTGTAGTATGCGCGATCCCGTGGAGCAGCCATTGGCATTGCCGCGGAGGAAGGAATAACAAGTCAAGTTGTGTCGATAGAAAGGCCGAGGTACAATCGGACCGACATGAGAACGATCAGTCAATCGAGGCAGTCGCGGTAGTAAATTTGCCCCAAAAGACCCCCCCTTCGCGACGATCAACAAAATTGAAGGCGGGCGATCTGCCAGGTCAAAGAACGTCCTGACTCAGCTGCACCTATGGATCAGGTGATTCCGGGCATGGAGAGCTCTCTCTATCTTATCCACTGTTGCCTGGAAGGTTCACAGTGAGATCATCCTTCAAAGTCATTCCTTGCATTCAAATCCCCCCTTCCAGAAGGAGCCCGGATATTTGCAGGCAACAGCCATACATCTCTCATGATATCTAGCACACCTCTCGTATTTCGAGGGGTTTAAGATCGCCCCGAAAACATCCCGATCTCACGCTTCTTTGCGTCTACTCTAGTTCACCCGTGCAACGCCCCCACTCGCTGGTCCTGAGCTCAAGGGTGCCCAGCTTCCACTTTCCATGATGTTGAAGCCTTTCCAAGTCAGAGATCTTCATGGATCCTCGTCTGGAGGTCCTGAGGAAGTTTCACCTCAACCCTCGAACCTTCATGGGGTTGTGCAGGTCTCAGCCGCCGACTACGACAATATCGCCTTGAATCACCCTCGAGCCAGACTAACTTACCTAGATGATGATGATGGTGATCAAATTATGGCAAGTCCCAACCCAACCAGTTTCCTTTTATCAAACCAAGCAGCTAACTCTTTTATGTAGGTCGGGTCTTCTCTTGAGCTATCTCAACGGCTAGACGAGCCTCTGGACATCTATATGCGCCCCGATAACGTCCAGCTTTCTCAGAGTGAACCGGCCTCCATGCACATATTCGATATTCGTCGATCTAACTCGGTGACCGAGTTATGGAAGCAGTTCGAAAGACCCAACGACGGGACCCAATCACAGCAAATGATCAGCGATGTTCCCGTCGAGACGGAATCTGCAATCGATGAACATGAACACAAAGAGGAACCAGCTGCACATGAAGCTGCTACTATATCTCCCCCTGAGGCTGAAAGCCAGCCTTTTATGGCAGCATTTGAGGCCGAGCTGGCCAGCCTTCTCAACCCTGCAGAGAATTCTGGCCAAAGGGCTACGCAGCCAGAAGCATCATCCGCAGCTGAACCCTCGTCGTCGGACTCTAACTCACGGGGAGCACACCATCCACTGGAAGTGGTTGCAGCCACGTTCCTTTACCATTTGATCAATGGAGCCAACTCGGTACAGTCCGAACTGAGAAGTAGGCTGCCAGAGTTACAAGAGCAGCTCCGAAATGCTCAGAGGACAGTCCCGGAGAACGTGCGAACATCCCTCCAGTCTCTGCTCGCCACAATTGAAGCGCACATGCGGACTGCTTTCCATAACTTCCCCGATAATGGAAGGCAGTTTGCGGAAGACGCCATCAATGCCGGGCGCCCCGTTGCTGAGCATGCTGCGGATGGCTTGCGGATGATGGCATCGGAGCTCAATGAGGCCAGCCGGACATTGTTTGCAGCCTTCGAAAACGAGTTCGGCCGTTTTGCATCGAATGCGTCGAATGCCACATCTGACGAGGGACTGCACGCAGCGTCTACTCCGATCCCCGGTGCTACCCCTGATGGGACTGCACCAGACCTCTCATCTCAAAATACGAATCCATATCCTACAAATCCAGGCGTCCAAAATGACGCGACCGCCAGTTCTGGTCAACCCGTTCAAATCCCTGAGGTCAACCCAAATACTCTGCCGTCCGACCTCAAGGGTCCTAGTTGGGATACCGCGAGAGACGGACAGGGGGATCACTTTTATGTTCCAGGTCCTCATCATCCCCCTCCATTCCCTCCTCGACCCGCTCACCCTGCCGTTCCGCCCATGCCTCCGAGAGATTGTTTTATCCCTCATTCTCACTCCCATCCTCCCACTCATCCTCCCTGGCACATGCCATGGGATCCAGCTCATCCTATCCGGCATCATCCCCCGCCCCTTCCGCCTCCACCGCCATCCAGCTATCTGGGTGAACCATGGCTTCCTTCAAACCACTGGTTCAGCCCGTTCGTTCCTCATAACCCTCATACGGTACCTCGGATGCCTCCAGCCCCTCCTCCAAAGGAAATCCCCAGAGACCAAGATGAGTTATCAGTCCCTTCTGAAAAGAAGGCTTTATTCATCGGCAACGTTGGCTTCAACGTGACCGAAAAGATGATCCAGGATGTCTTTGCTTCCAAGGGTTTCATTGTTTCCGTACGCCTACCCCAAGACTCGAACACTGGAAAACATGCAGGCTTCGGCTACATAGATTTCCCCTCGATCCACCCTGCTATGGCGGCAATGGATGCTCTACAAGGGTTTCACATTGATGGCCATGCAATCAATCTCGAGTTCAGTGATGATGCCATCATTGACTCTGTCCCCCCACCAGAGCATCCCGGTCTTGCCGAGCCCAGGACTCTGTACGAGACTTTCGCACATCAGAGCCGTCCGCTGTCTCGAGACTTTGGGATCTCTCGTCCCGATCAAACCGGCCCTGGGGCCTCAGCCAACAAGCCAGAGCGTCCGAGTCGAGTGAGCCGCAGAAAGTCTGTGACATTCCAGGACCCTGATTTGTCTTCACTGGATCTTCAGGATAAAAGCGCCACCGGGAAAGATACTCCAGCCCGGCTTCAATCGCCTCCACTGATTGACTTGACCACCGATGACGCTGCATCCAATCACCAGTCGAATGAAATGCACGATCAGCTACCGGAGATGAGTCGATTCCCGCCTGTCTCCCAGCTTGAAGCCCAGCTCTTTGCCAACCAACAGCAGAGCCGTGCACTGGAGCCTAGCTCGGATGCGACAATTCGTCAAGAAAGCCCTGAATCAATTTGGGACCGAGACTATGATCAGCCAAGGAGCTCTTACGAGCCTGTGCCTGTACACGATGTGCACGGGGAAGAGTCATCCCCTTGGAGTAACGGCGGCCGTCTGAAGCACATTGGTCCTGGAGGCCCAGGTCTTCGTCGGTCGAAAACTATGACATTTGCGCGCCGAGGAGGGGAACGCTCTGATGTACCAAATCCAGTGTTTCCAGGCGGCCCTGCTGGTCAAATTCCATTAAGACGTCGTGCTAGTGAACGCCACCACTTGAGACGTGATACCCACGATCCCAGCGACACAGACACCTGGGCACGCTTGGACAGGAGGGAGCGTCGACGGCCCAGACGTTCATCCCACCATAGTATCCCAGGAAGCTTCCCTGTGGAAGAGATATCTCAGCCTGTGCCGTCCGACCCGCTCGACGCTAACACCGAGAGTCAGAAGACGGACATTGACGAATGTATGTCGTCCCTCATCGATATGGGCTATGGAAGCGCTGAAGATGGCGGGCACTCTCGGATGGCAGTCTACGCTGCGGCTTCAAATGGCAACCTCAACGATGCGATCGAAATGATCGAGGAGGAGAGAGCGGCCTATGCCCGGCAATGCTGAGAGTGAGATGGACTGGAGTATGATCTATTTTATTTAGGCTTGACATGCCATAGTCGCTCCTTTGGACAGGCTTTCGGTCATATTCATCAGTCTTTTCTACGTGTTATGAATAATCTTGCTTTGTGAGCGATAATTTGCCAAATTGTTCAATCTCAATTCAACTGTTGTCTGGTACCTTCTGGGCTCCGATATATATCTCTAGGTATCTGAGGTTCCGCGTAGAGCGCCCACAGGACAATATGTGTCAAAGCATAGGACCTTCAGGGCTAGCTGTAAAAGTGCAATGGATGTAGCTAATTACTCATGGTTGCTCAAAATTACCATTGACCCTTCTGCCCATTTTCCAAAGACGTGTCGTGCGTACATACCATGGATGGTTGAATCTTGGAAGTGATGATCATGCGGACCGGTGATCGGATCCGCGGGGGTCCATGCTCCGAGGTTTTCCCAGTTCGCCAGCTTGACCTCCGACCATCATCCATCTTCCCAGCGCAACGCCCTTGATTCAGCCATGTACACATGGCGGCGGACCTTCGCCACGTCTGTCGCCAGACTCGGCTCTAGTTCAACACCCCATTCTCGAATTGCTTCCCTGCGATGTGCGCAGGTCCTCCAGGCTAGCAAAGCAGACGGACCCTGCAGCTTAGAAGACAAAGAGATCAAGGTCAATGGGTTCATTCGGTCGGTTCGGAAGCAAAAGCGATTTGCCTTTGCAGAGATCTCAGACGGCTCTACTGTCGAGCCATTGCAGGCGATCCTGAAGCCTGCGCAGGCAGCTGAGTATGTCCATCGTGGAGCTGTGACTCCAAGCTTCATGTATTCACGCGAGAATCTAACACGATCGCTTTCATGCATAGTCTGTCCACAGGCACTGCCGTTGAAATATCCGGCGTGTGGAAAGCTTGCCCGCCTGGAAAGGAGCAGACTCATGAGCTTCAGACTACTGACGTGACCGTCGTTGGCGCGGCGGATCCAGAGGTGCGTGTTGGCAAATCATTACGAGCGCGAATCAGCTGATCTGACTGTCGCATCATGTTCACAGACATATCCGATTCAAAAGAAATACCATAGCCCCGACTTCTTGCGCCAGATCCCCCATCTCCGCATTCGCACGCCGTTCCAGTCCCTCCTCGCGCGCTTCCGATCCGAATGCCTGTTCCAGTTGGGCAACGTCTTCCACTCTCGATCCGAAGGTCCTTTCACGCAGGTTCAACCTCCGATCATCACATCCTCAGACTGTGAGGGAGCAGGTGAAACATTCACATTGCTTCCACGCGGTGCAGCGGCACCGTCGAGTACAGAAACCGAACATTTCTTCCGAGCACCGAAGTACCTGACCGTGTCATCACAATTACATCTCGAGGCCTACGCGGCTGAGCTCGGCAATGTCTGGACCTTGACACCCGTGTTCCGGGCGGAGAAGAGTGATACACCTCGTCATCTTAGCGAGTTCTACATGCTCGAGGCCGAGGCAAACTTCATGTACGATTTAGACTCGCTCACGAACCTGGTAGAGGATCTACTTCGTGACCTGACTCGCCGATTGTACATTACGCCTGTTGGTCAAGAAATCTTGTCGGCAAAGCGCACTGGAGAGTCCGGACAAGAAGGCAATACCGAGGAGTCGAAAGATTTGTTGGGGAGGTGGACGGCGCTTATGGAAGGACCTAGATGGCACCGAATTACGTATACTCAGGCCGTTGAGATGCTTCAACGAGCAGTCGCAGAAAAGGGTGCCTCGTTCGAGCATCCTCCCACATGGGATGGTGGGTTGCAGACCGAGCATGAAAAGTACATCGTCGAGGTACTGCACGAGGGAAATCCGGTCTTTGTCACGGACTATCCCAAGACCATCAAACCGTTCTATATGGCACCTTCGCAGGGCAGCGAGGGTAGTACGCCAGGTGAGACCGTCGCCTGTTTCGATCTGCTTCTTCCCGAAGTGAGTGAAGTTGCTGGCGGCTCCTTGCGGGAGCATCGTTTGCCCAATATCATTCAGAACATGCGGGATTACGGCCTCATGAAGTCCCGCGCGGCTGCTGATTCCGATGTACCGGTATCAGACGAACCGTCCTATCCATATCTGACTGCAGAGGAGGATCTTGGGCATCTCCAGTGGTATGCCGACCTTCGACGCTGGGGTTCTGCCCCTCATGGAGGATTTGGACTTGGATTTGACCGGTTCCTTGGCTACTTGTCAGGAGTTTCCAGCGTTCGGGATGTTGTCTCATTCCCGCGCTACTTTGGTCGGGCTGATTGCTAGAAAGCACAGCCGGACAGTGTATGATATCAAGGAATATACTATAAATGTACCATAGATCAAATGACCGCATGGAGTCCATCTCCACCAACCTTGACTACTATATATAAAACCTGGATTCCCGCGTCAACCTGTCAGCTTGATAAGCTTACTGCATACTCGAGAAAGAAAGATCTAGGTGATCATTCGCATAATCTCGATCAGGCTGCCAATGCTTTGATCAAAGTGAACCATCAATCGTCCTACTATTCAATAGGAAACGTTAATAGTTCCCGTCAAACGCTGTCTCTTGTTTCCCTCTTACACCGACAGGGCGCCCCATCTCGCGTCCGCTTTCTGCCCCATTCTCAGCCTCATAAGACGTTCAGACTGTACCCACCATTGGCTCTGAGTATTTAGTAATCGGGGGCGGTTGGCGGTGCACCCAGGAGGTGCATCGCCCAAGGGGTGGGAGCATCGCCGGGAGCCGAAAAGAGTAAAATGAATCGGCCTTTGCTGATTGGGGCAGTTGGAGACTATTTGTCGCCGTTGCGAGGTTGAATGAGGCTAAATGGAGCGATCTCAAACGCCGAAGCCATAGGCCATGCATAAGGTGCTTCGAGGATGTACATTCCATCCCAACTAAGCATACAGCGCAGCCAATTAACACCGCAGGGGGCTGCGGAAGGAATGAAGAGACAAGATCCCAGCCTTGCCATAGCCACGAGTCACGACTCTTTGCCGCTTGCTTTGAGCACAGGTACATACGGAGTACTTACATATTCGAATTTACAGATCCCTAGCTACCGCGTCAATATTCTTGTTGATATACCTATCGCAAAGGGCAACCCGTATGTTTGCACCGCTGTTATCGTAGGTAGGAGCTACCCAATGGCCCATGTATATCCGTCTATATCCTCTACTTCCGGTACTCCCGCTGGACCTCCTCTATGCTCTCTTAGCAACACGGAATATATCCTCCGTTCATATCTCCATCTGATTATTACACCAGCGCCGTCGAGATTCGTTATGCACTGGCTCTCGCACCGGTCCAAGTAAGGCCAAGCACTCTAGCGTGGATGGAGGTGCCCACAGCCAAACGCAAAAAACTGGGCCGTGAAGGGCGTCCGCATTATGAATCCTTCCAGTAGCGACCGAAATGCGCAAACTTGAGTTAGTCAAATACAAGTTCCAATTAGCCCCATCCTGAAGAGGCAACTAATAAGTCGATAAAGCAGAGGCTTCCGTCAGCTCGAAACGTGGTCCGTGGTCTCCGGACTTAGTTTCGATCTTGAATTCCTTTTGAATTCCTCTATCCGTACTCCGTACGGAGTAGCCTGTATGAATTATGTACTTAACTCGGAGTTGCGGAGCTCGCGTAAGAGTGCCGAGGACTTGTCGTTTCTGGGCAACTATTTGGTCCTTGGTGAGGGTGGAGTTTCGGCCCTAGTCAGTACAGTAGTAAGCGGATTTATTGAATTTTGGTGGCTCAAATAATTATGAACTGAGTTTCAGACGACCTGTAATCGAGCAATTTTCACGAAGCTGACATGTCTTTAAATGAAAAAAGGAGCCTTGAGTCTGCCGCTTATCATAAGAGGCAAAGCAAACCGATGCCTCGCAAGCATGTTATGTAGGCAGACGTAGTACTCCGAACATAATTGATCGATCCACAGCCTCACAGGATCGGAATGCTATGGAGCATGGAGGGGGGAAGAGGGAGGCCCGGGCACAGCGTTAGAAACTTTGGAAACTGGGAAATTCTCAATATAATAGACTTTACGAGAGCGAGTCGCCTAGTGCATGCCAATACAAAATGAGGAGGCCAGGATCGGCGGGTCAAGGGGATCCAACCTTACCGGGGTTAAGCATAAGCACGACGATGTTCGGTCAGTGTCCGCCTGAGGCAGGACAAGTCATGTCCTAGTCGGGGACCATCCCTGCCTGACGTATCACACCGAAAGGAAAGGCGCCCATTGTGCATAATAATAAATAAGGACTTGATCAAAATGGATTTTGATCCGGGCTACCGATAGTCGGTTAGCTTTACGACCTGCTTATGTCCTACCGTTATGATTGGTATACTTTCTAAATCTCAGTATTTAAAGTACGGAGTGCTCCGTCGAATTGATCACCCATTTTAGTCCTTGGCCTCCTTCCGCCAGTCCCCGGTCCTACATAGTAGTACATAATACCACTAATGTACATGCATACATACCAGCTATGAAGAAACAACACAAATAGGGACCCTTAGCAACTTGGCGCAGAAAGGTAAATAACTAATAATATGTATGTTATGTGTAAGAAAGAAACAAGTTCCACCGCCCAATTCCAGCGCTCTCGTATTCGGATGAGTAAAGTCCCCGAATGCATAAACTCAAAAATACCGTGCGCCACATGGTTTATGCGTTGATTCATGTTTTGCAACGGACAAGTGAGACACACGAGTCGGGTCATCAAGCCATTTTGAGACCAATAATGGGGTCATGGTGGACATAAAGTCGCGAGGCTACCCTACTTTAGGTCTGGGCAAGGCGCCGTAGTGACCATGGTTCCCAAAGGCCAAACTGGCTTTTAGGCTTGCCGATGACAGTTGCCACCACTCCAAGCAGCCGCCAAACCCGAACTGGGGCTGCCCAGAGAAAGGGGGGCACTGCCTGGGACCGATCGCCTTGGCAAAGGGCCTGGCAGTAGCAGGCACCATTCATAAATCAAAGAGCGAGTCTTGGCTCTGGAGAGAAGACGTTAGTTTTGCGTTAGTCATGAGGCAACAGCATTGTATTGTCTAACAGCTGATTGCTTCGGGAGAACAATCTACAACTTAGCCAAGAGAACCATTGGTGGGAGAAAACGACATAGCCTAGTCCAATTACGCTTGGCGTCAGTTTTACACGAATGATAACAGATCAGACTTTGTGCCAGGATTACTACGGCAATCATCGGATAAAATTTCCAGCAAAAGCAAACGCGTTGAAATCATCGAGCGGAGGTCAAGCATCAATAGTGTTGTTGCCAGGGTCAGAGAAAGTAATCAAGTATTATTATTGTAGGCCGAACTTGAGTGTGGAGTCTGCCCTAGCACATTTTTCATATTACAGTATCCAGAGTATTTTCCATCCATCCAAGCGACCGGAAGACATGGAACACCTTAATTATGTTAGTGGAGATAAGCTCGTGCGACGTTTCACAAAAGCAGCTCTTGGCAATCTTTAATCTGAATCGGCTGAAATCCTAGGGTTGCAATGGAACGTGTGACAATACGAGACATAGTCGCAACTAAATCTACAATAGGGTTGATCGTGGGTACTGCGTGCATATCTAATACCGTAAATGGGCGATTCAGGTGGCATACTACTGTAAGGGCACGTCATCGGCCCCCGCGGAAGTCCCAAAGCTAGCAGTGGATTATTTGAGAAAAGGATAATAGCGTGTTGGCTCTGTTAAGTGTAAACTCTGGGAAAAGTCCGTGGATCAAGATGTAAATGATCATCGGGATCTGACCCTGGGATAAAGTTGAGGAGTTGATTATAGGGGAAAGTGATCAGCTCGCGCGGCAGAGATTCTCGGCCTGAGTAGTCGTTGCAACGTTCCCCAGAGATGGGCGGACTATACGCTAGGTGGATCATCGTAAGTCGGAATTTATTATGAATCATTGAACAGAATAATAAAGCAACAAAATGTGAAACTTCGCAACCAGCGTACCCTCGTACTCCGATTTGGAAAAGCGCCATGGTTAACCATGGCGATACAGTATTAGCATATGAACATTGAGAATAGTCATCTTACTATCACGCCTAAACGGCAGATACATTGTCACGCAGTATACATCTAATTGCATACATAAGAAGTCCATGGATGGAACGGTATGTCTGTCATTGGGTAAACGCTATGTTCAAAAAGAAGCCGTCCTAGCCGGCGGCGTATTTAAGGTCTCCAAACCACGTTGACCGGCTCTATTATTATTATTTACACACCGGCCCTCGCGTCTCGGATTTAAGCAAAAAATACAAATGCCGAATTCATGTGGAGCTTCAAACGCAATCGTGTTGATTATTATTTTCAGCATGATGAGTGAGCATAAAGCCATTGGCAAAAAAGAGACAGGGCGAGTGAGAGTCTAAACTCCCCACTCCGCCAGTAATAATAATCAGAGATTCCGCCAGTTGCAAAATCCACACGAACCATGGTCGGCAAGTCTGGTGTCGGCTTGACCCGCAAGGGCCTACTCTATCAGCGGTCCAGGTGATATGCTTAGCGAGCAGTGGAGTCATGATGTTTAAATTGGCCCACTTAATAGGATGAAAAGGACGCAGGCTCGGATGATCGGATACAACTTGAACGGCATGCCCGGCAGCACCGAAGTGAACTTACGGAATTATAAACGGACTAACATTAAACCCAAGTAAATACTGAGTCGCAGTTCGGTCAAGTGCGATTTTCATCGCCTGGCATGGACGAGGCTGGCTGGCGTCGCGGCCCCCTGGTCACCTAATTGGTTTTCGGACCAATCGGCACTAGTCATGGGTCAAAGCCCAGAAATACCAAGAATAAGCCTCTGCTGGAGTTATCCTAAAAGGGAAACGAGCGCGGGAGGGACGGGAGTCCTGTCGACAAGTGGGTTTGAAGGATGATCTCCGCCACTCGCCAGGATAAATCCAAAGCAAGCCAACAGGGAGTGCTGGGGGGTTAGGCATGGAAGCGCCCAGCAACTCGACAGATCTCGCACATGGTACATCATGTAAGGGCGACATGTGGTGAATTGAAGCAAATTGCAATACCTACAGTGGGGGTTGTATTAGTTTTCTACTTTGCGTTAGGATCTGCCTGCGGCACAGTTCGATCGGCCCTCCAGGCCCCTGGACAGTCTAATTCAGTATGTACAGGCATATCATTTGCATCTGAAACAATAATCCATGGCTTTCCAGGATACAGGAGACTATTTACTACAAGCTGCCTCTTGATCAGCTCATGCACGGTTTCAATGTTTATTGAGCAGTTAGAGAGTCTGCTTAGACATGGGGGACCCGGGCCCGGGGGTTGATCAATTCTTAGACCTACAGTAAGTCCCGGGCAGATGTACCTATACAATCCGTATTTATATATATTCTGTCACCACTTGATCTTCCACTTAAGTGGACGTGATTTGCAGCTGGGAATCGTCCTCGGTTAACTCAAGCAAAGTCGTGCGACACTGTCTACCCCATTGACCTGGTCGATGGAAGTTCCAGTCGCTTTGATGATGGCAGGTTACACCAGTCGGCACCATGTGAGACATCTGATGCAGGCCATGGTCGATCCGGCATGAAGCTTGAGTAACTAAGTAGAGCAGCGGTGACCCATATTAAGCTCTCGTGTTTCTGTTGACTTTAGCTATAAGCAACACATCGCGACGTCTATAAGAGGTGCCCAGCCAGGCTTCAACAATAGAGCAACCGTTATTCTCTGCCTAGAATGTATATACGTAACCCGCTCAGCCAAGCCAGGATCAGCTGCCAGAGAAGACCGGTCTTTGAACCCTATTATAGTGTTTTCCTTGTGCAACAGTCTGCTGGCGATACGCTTTCACAACTGGTCTTTTTAAGAGCCGGTCCGTGCGTAAGCTCATCCTTGAATTGACGAGCTTCAGCTGTGCATACATATTCTGAATCCAGAAGGGCCATTCATTTGCAGCCAAGATTTTTGACTTTGGCTGACAGCCTCGCGCCCTTCGACGTAAGTGTACTGGAAGCTTCGGTTAAGCGGCTCCTCGATTGGTCGCTCATGTCTTGGATGTTCTTTGTCATGCTTGGTGGCATCCACATATCGTATTGGGGGGCGGGCCACCTGCAGGGTGGTCCATAGTGCCCGCAGGATTGGCAGCGGGAGAATTGTCCATCTTTTAACCTTATCGTTGAGTCAAAGAATGTCAGCGCCCACGGTTTCAGCCCAACTAATATAGCTCATAATCAAGTCAAAAAGGATGAATTCGAACGGAAGGTGATGAATAACTATGGAAGGGGGCTATGTAATTCCGTATGGGGCTCTAGGTTTCCTTACTGACACTGTTCGAAGAGCGCGGCCCCCTTTAGCCGAAATCAAAGCCATCGGTCAAGGCTACAACTGTAATTCAGTATGTACAGTATGTACTGTATCTACTGATGATCCCTTTAACTTTGTATGCGAAGAACCTAATCCCGATCACACCCATACAGTATGACGTGGCCTGTTAGCTTTTGGCTGTGCATCCTACATGAATAATATGTCGCAGCATGGATGATCTGCCCCAGACAAGGGAGCCCTAGATTTGAATGATTCATGAAAGGAAGGAGTAAGAACATCGCAAAGTACGCACATGATGCACAGTAATAATTGACTGAAGAAGCAACTACGGAGTTGTTTTCATTTATTTGAATTTAATATGAGCTATTCTTGTTGGTTCTGCTTATTTTCTAATTGGGGAATTTTAAGTTCAGTTGACAAGCTTTGCGGTCAGCGACAGTTCAAATCTAAACCTTGGCCGCGTCACTAGATACGAGTACGAGTCACGAGTGCAAAATGGCCACTGTGGCTTTTCCCCTCCCCGATCCCCCGATAAACACTAAAGAAAGTTATTTCCGAGGTGGCTTCTTGGCTAGAACCACCGTTGTGTTTGCTGGGAGGCTCAGGCCGACGGAGCCGCTCATTCCGGTTCCTGCTGGAAAGACAAGGGCGGAGTAGGTTACTAGGTACGGCCGTAGAATGTATGGAGTACGGAGGTACGGAAGAGTCCTCCTCGCGCAAGGACTCCCGTTACAGTATGTATTGGTAATTAATAATCCTGGCATAATAGTTAATAATCGCCGGGGGGGGGGATCGATCGGATTCTGTGGTCGTGTTGGCGCCAAATCCCGATACAGTTACTTGTTATAGCCATTTAGCCAAGTATAGGTTTAATGGTCTGACCTGCCACTATTTTTTTCTGACCTCTGCTGAGTGGCTGCTCGACTATAATTTCTTCTTCTGTCGAGCTGTTCGTGATGATAGGCGTCATTCCCGACCACAGATAAGTTTATCCCCAGGATCAAAACGAGAGTCGCTCTTGCCTGAACCATGGTCAAGACAAGAAGGTTAAAATTACGAAATCCGAAGTCCGTGTGGTAGAAATAATTACCGCGCATTAAAAAATGTAACAACACCTTAAAAGTTAGTGCCTGAGTAGGCACTGTTCAATTCGATTTAGCGCGACACACCCAAGGCTGATGAGAACTGTACGAGAATTGAACGAAGAATGTTACTTCTGAGCGCATTCTAATTAAATTATCAATCTATAAGAAATCAAGTATTGCCTCTCGCGGTCTAGTCCAGATGCCAAGCATCAGCGTGCAATCAATCGGCCAGCTGAAAATGGACCAGGGTGGGTGCGGCCTCTCTAAGCGAGCATAAAGTTCAGCGCCAGCCTCCTCGTGTCTGATTAAGCTTAAGCTTCCGAGCACCGCGCACTAACCACCTATTTTTTTTTTTGGTTTCTTTTTATTATTGTTATTTAATTATTTTTATTTTTTATCTCCTGCGATCAGAGCGCCACCTTCAGAATACATCCGACATAGATCACTTTACGGGGGTCGTACACCATAGGGTTTCTATTGGAGCCTAACCAGTCACATTGTCGTATTTCGGCATCTCAAAAATTCAAATGATTCGTGTTTACTTCCTTTTGATCTAGCCCTTCACATGTCATGTCAGGAATGAGGGCTGCCTTGCGAAGGGGTAACAATAATAATAAGAAGAAGAAGAAGAAGAAGCCAAGGGCTCACAAATAACCTTACTGCGCTTTTCCCTTCCCGTTTACCCTTCCTTCTCCTTCCCCCTCTCCCCACCTCCTAGCTCCACTTCATCCTTGGTCAAGCCACCGTAAGCTCAGCCAAGGCCTTTCCAAGAACCTCCAAGACCACTCCTAGATTGGCAACCCTTTCGGGCTGTGGGCCTCGGCCAGAACAAACAGGACAAGATGAAGATGTCTTGGTTGGACGCCAATGAACTGATCGCATCAAGACTTTCTTTTGAGTAGGATCTGTCTTACCATATTTTCATCAGATAACGTGTTAACTAGTTAACTACTGTAGCATGGGACACCTGATGACTCATCCGTCTTCAGTCGATCAGAATAATCTTGATGATTATATCCGCGCTAGACTCGATTACTGTAATACATAACAGTTGTATCTATTTGTCGAGGTGGAATTTGATGTAGTCATCAGCTGTTGAGAATCCAAGATTTCCAGTTCTATCTACATGGAATGATAGGCCATAGTAGTCGCTCCTGCTGTCGGAGTTTGTTCTGGTCACGATCCAGTGTGACCAGACATCATCATCCGTGCCACTGCCACACTGACTTTGCCACAACCATAAACTGGCCAACACTCAAATCCAACCAGCCTTGATGACCCAGACCTGGATCCAAGGTTCTCATGCATAAAATAGGAGTCATGCGATAACCTTATGGATTTCAAATCAATCTCTTTCCTTGTCCATGTGCAATTTTTAATTTTTTTTTTTAATTTCTTTTTTTCTGGGTTCTCAATTTTTCTCCCTTTTTAGGCATTTCGTTCCCAGTTTTGCGCTCGCTGGATCACATCTTCGATCGTCATTCGCTCCATCTCCCAAGCTTAGTTGGGTGTCCCCACCCAACCTTGTTTCCGAAGAGGCTATTGTATTACGAATGGTTTTCCTTTTTCCATTTTACATTTACCTCTTTCATACAAGGCCCCCCATGCGATAAAATTTAATTTGATTTGAATTAAGCTTCCTATTTAAAGATTGTCATAACCCTGGAAGCCTGATGATACCACCGTATCCAGTACTCCGTCCTCCCATCCACAATCCCACATAAGTAATGTATAATGTATTATTACATACTGTAGGATTTATGCTCCTGATTCAAACTTAGTCTTTCGTTAGTCAGGCAGTTTCTCATTCTCATTCGGTCGCCCATTCTTGGAATCTCGGCGTTTAGCAAGCTCCGTCCGATCTTGGCTCGGTCCCTGCAACTGCCTCCCTTATTTAACCTTCTTTTAATGATTCTTCATGGGTCTGTTCCTTTATAGGGTTCCAAGCAACCCCAACTCCCGCGCGAGGCGGTTTTACAAGAAGAAAGATTTCTCCTCTCCCATGCCCTTCCTTCTCAACCATTCCCTCACGGAGTCCCCCACCCAAGGACTCTATCAACTAGTCTCAAAGGTTCCCAACTCCTTCGGATCTCGTATCTCCTACGGCGCGCCGAGACACTGAGGGCCTAAACCCACATCCTGCCAACCTTGTGGGGTCGAAACTCCAAAGAAAGTTAAGAAGTGAGTCTTGTCCCCACTCCAACTGGACTCTGCCTCTTCTTTCCCTTTGACCGTGTTCCTGCCGGCATTCTTTACGCCCGCTACATCCCACTCGCCCCACAACAAATCTCTGCAGGCGCTCAGCCTTTTTCCCTATCCCCATTTTCCAAAACGAAGTCAAAAAAAAAAAGGATTATTTAAAAAAATTTTGATTGAAAAAAAGAGATACCAAAAAAACTCCCAAAATTACGTCTTACCATTCCATATTTGGGGGTGACGTAAAAAAGCTCGGCCTTTATCCTACCCCATACCTCTGATATCTTTCTTTATATGCTTGGGTCTCTCCACCTTATCTCGTTTTACCTTTTTATACTTCTTTTTCTCTCTCTTCTCCTCGCCTTCCCCCCTCATACACACGCCTTTCACCCCTTTCTCACTCCACATTCTAATCAAGATTCACCCGTCCGCTGCAGATCTTATCTCAATCCCCTGATCTCTCCAGCATCGGACATCGCCAACACGCCTCCACCACTGACAGCGAAGTCGTCGACTCATCCGCCATATTATCAAAGTTTCCCACCCGGGTTATCGGTAACTCGCGAGGTCAGATGGAGACATACTACGGACACGTCCGCACTCCAGCGGACGCTATCATTCTTTTCGAGGCTTGTCGGATTGGTCTGCTGCCACGAGTACAACGTCGGCTATCAGAGAAGGAGCGACAGTCGATTCGCTCGGGCTCAGTATTCGTCTGGGATGAGAGGGAAGCGGGTATGCGACGATGGACGGACGGCAAATCATGGAGTGCGAGTCGAGTCTCGGGCAGCTTTTTGACGTATCGTGAGATGGAAGGCAAGCGAGGTGGAGGTGCAGTGCCTCAGACCTCAGTATCACGACCTGGGAAGACGCCAGAGAGCAGAGGTAGCGACGATGATCGAGGTGACGGAACGGACGAAGGCCCCGATGGATACCGGTATAAGCCCGACGGTCTCATGAAGCAATCCTTCAGTATCACCACATCTACAGGCCAGCACCTCCACCTGATCAGCTACTACTCTCGCTCTCACCCATCCGCTGCCAATCTCCAACAACCAACGACTGACCCCGCTCTCCGACATGTTCGACCACAGAAAGGTCTGTACCCTGAGTCGACTGTGAACGATCAGCAGAACCTGCCAGTGGTGACCCGAGGACCCATGCCTGGCGCTGCCGCCTACCCCATCACACCTCATCCCATGGGCGGTTTCCCCCGGACGAATCCCGGCCACAGCCAGGCTTATACTCAACTCCATCACCCCTGGCCTCCTACCCCGTTGGCCACTCCACCCACGGTTGCAGTGCCATACCCGGGTGCCTATCTTCCCCCTGTGGCTGCAGCGAACGGGCCACCATACGGGCCTCCCCAGCACCAGCCGCCACCTCACCTTCAACAACCCTCGCATGGTCTGCCGCCGCCGCCTCATGGAGGGGCAGGCCCCTTTGATCGATCCGGCCATCACGAGCCTGCGCTGCCACCCGCAGGCCCGCCATCAGCAGGGGCGCCAGCGTACCCAGGGCGATCGCCACGATCTCTGCACCATCCACCACCGGAGCAGAGAAGCCCTCGCATCTACGGACAAGCCATCTCAGATCCGCGCATGGCTTCACCGAGAAACCCTCCAGGGTCGATCATGCAGCCCAACGGAGTAACACATAGCCCGCAGCTGCCTAAACAGACCCCACCTACGACAGTACGACAACTTGGACCTATTGGCACGCCTCCCAAGCCCGAACCAGGCCCTGTGCCTGGCATCGGGTCCCTCATGAGCGGCACCTCGCTTGCCCCGATCACTTCGGCGGGACCTCTTGCAAATGGGCCTGGAAGCCCGCCTGGTGCCCGGCCTCCTGTTCCCGGCGATGGACCACGGGACATCCCCAACGACAAGATCGGGTTCGGAGGAGAGGATGTGAGAGCTCTTCGCCAGCTAGACCGGGTGTTCATCTGATCGGGCCCTCAAGTCTCCAAAAATTAAGACTGCCATGTCTGCCTAGAAAGACATGGTATTTCACTTTCCCCCAAGGAACTATACACGTCTCCAGCCAACCTTACCTCAAACCCGATTATCCTCGACCCTCCTCGAACCTCCTCTTTTCACGATTCCAAATTGATTCCTCGCACACTAGACTGACTGGTTAAGTCTATGTTTTTATGGGAGCCAGGCGTTCTGATTTTCATGCGATATCCACATATGTTTTTTGCTGGGTTTCGTTTATCATACCGGTCGCTCTTAGCATTTTTCTCTGCATGGGTCGGGGTGGCTATCTGCATTTATTTTCTATTCTTGTGAATTATATTGTTTACCCTGTCGTGTGTGTGATCTGGTCAGCGGCTCTTTGGGTTTATGGGCCTTGTCATCCATATTGTTATGCATTGGGGTCGGATCGGTCTACACGGATGGGACATTTTGGGCTTCGGGTTCTATCTAGTCTATCCAATGGACTTGCTTTGATATCCAGTTTTGTTTCTAAATTTCCAATTGTAGATGTAGTTACATGTCTGAACGGATATTGGATTAGGCTCAATTGGCCACTGCTGTTAGATAACCTTAACAACTCGATGGGGTGCTAATGGGGAGTGATAGAGTCACTTGCACCTTCGACTCAGCATGACACGGAAACTATGTGAGAGGATACAGTGAAGAGGAGAGACACGTAGACACATTATCAAAAGCTAGAACGTAATCCCTCAAGTCTGAAATTCACTAATCTAGATAATACCCTTCAGTGTCCGATTTCGTCCTAGACTCATTTGTAGACCCTCGAATATTCCGCATACTTTCCTCAACTTTCTTCTTCTCGAGCTTCTTCTTCCTTTCTTCGGCTGACTCGCTGATGGTTGGTTTTATAGAGCGCGAAGGCGTTCGTGAAATGTTAGAATGTGGACGGGGTTCAGCGGCTACTCGATGTTTCCCACCCTGCTTGTCCGAACTGGCCGAGTGTTCATGGAGTATGCGGGCGACACGACTGCCTTCCGGTGTCAAAGACAGTGCGGTGTTACCGGTTGAGTCGATTATGTTCATGTTGACGTTGTGGTGGAGAAGAATTTCAACAATTGAGCTTTGCCCACACTCGACAGCTATCATCAACGCTGTCTGTCTCACCTCGGCGATTCTGGGCATTCGGGTCTGATCCATGCTCCAGCAAAGTCATGACAATCTCATCACGACCACGGCATCCTGTAACATTAATGGCGTGAGCGTATTCCTAATTTCCTCCTCGATATTGGCACGCCGTTCAATTAGAAGTCTGACGAGCGCTGCATCGAAATCCCGGCTGATTGCCTCCCCGAGGAGGGTACGGCCAAGGTCGTCTACCTGGTTGATGTCGGCACCATGTTCAACCAGAATCTTCACGACTTCGTTGGGACCGAGTTCTGTCGCTAATGACAATGGCGTGTTGTCCCACTCATCGGTACTATTTAGTGAGGCACTGCTCTCTATCAGAAGTCGAGCAATCTCTTCGTGGCCGTGTTTGGCTGCACACAGCAAGGGTTCGACCCCCACCAAGAAGATCCCAATCGGGATGTGCACCAGCAGAAAGTATTAGCTCTATGATAGCCAAATTCCCTTTTTCCACAGCCATTTCCAGCGGCATTCTATTTAGGGGAGCGTGATAAATATTTGGCTCAGCCCCTTCGTCGAGCGAAAAGCGACTGCAGCCTCATATTCCTTAGAAATAGCCCAGCATAGAGGAGCCCATCCCGCAGGGTCTGATTTTAAGACCCACTTATTAACAACATCTCTTTGGCAACAGAGGTCAGACCAAGCTCTATCGCCTTGCGGACGATGTCAACAAAGTCTGCCAATGGGAGTGTGGCAATGTGCTGCATTGACTGAAGCTGCATTTCGGGGAAGCCCGCTCGAATTTCTTCGAAGACCGTACGAGCAGGTAGCGCATAGGAAATATCATTTAATTCGGACCCAGCAACAATAATGCCGAATGTGGAATGAACAACCCGCAAACTGACGGCGAAGCCGTTGTCCATACCGGGTCTCTCAAGCTCACCACTGCCAATAGCTCTCTGTTGGGGAACCATTCTGTTATCCGGCAAGCATCCACAAGTCTATCGCCCACGGTGATGGGGTTCATCACAAGGTCAGTTGGTCGAAGCTTTAGAAGAGCCCAGTCTGCACCCTGCGAGAAAAAGTTGGATCGTGATTGACTTGGAATGGAGCCTAGTACGAGTCCCTGGCGAGTCCTGGGATCGTCGACGAAGGCGAAGTCGGATTCAAGCGTGAAGGATTCGGCAGTGTCAGGGCAACTGATGATGTCTGTCGTCTCGCTATCATTGTCACTCAAATAGATCCCATCTTCGTCTGATAATTCTTCCATGGAATGTGCCAATGAAAGGTTGAGCCACAGTCAGACCATAGATGTCTGTATCAATCTTGATACTACCTCCTAAGGTTGCAATTCGAGTGGAGATTCCGTCCTGATTCCCAACATAGAAACGCATCCCAGGCATTACCAGGGAATAAGACTCATTATGACCTTCGCTAACGGATGCACCCATGGTTGTTGAAACTTTGCTCTTGTAACCATATACCCGAAATCCCCAGGTGCGGGCGACCTCGCCGTGCCCTTCAATCAACTTGACAGCATTCTTGGCGACCTCATTTCCGCAGATGAAAATCACAGCTGGATGCGATGAGTGCCACTCTTGGCCAATCATCCAACAACACACACTGTAAGGCGTCTGTTTTTTGAAGCCTTTGAAGATCACTTTTGTGTTGTGTTGGAGAAGAGGCTTGATTGCCCTGGAATAGAGAGACTCGCTCCATTCGTAATTTACTGGCCCGATTGGGTTCCAGGCGGATTCATGATTGAATTCCCACGATAGCTTCTGTTCGACAGATGCTCTTCTGTTGCCGAGATTGTCCCAGAACGTGGGCTTGACGGACGGAGACCCGGGATCCAGAAGTCGACTGAAATGTGTTGCAGGTCGGGGCCTTGTTGTCATTTGCTATTGGTCTAACCAGTACTCCTTACAGCCAGAGATTATAGGTTTGAATCGAAGTCTTGCTGACGAGCAAAATTCAAGAGTAAGAGGTGGTGTTCTCCAGGTCGTGTTCTTGCGGTGTGATGTGAGGCTAACCCCCAGCCGGTTTACAACTCATCACACTCAGCCACGCCAGCCAACACTGCGCACGAATTGAATCATGACGATCATGCGGGGAGGGTCGCATTTTCACCCGGGTAGCTGAGACCTCAGCAGAACTACATTGATAGAGCTGCCTGCTCCTACTTGTGTCCTTGTTTCAGTCATACGACATGTTTAATTGAGAACCCGCCCTTTGACTAAGAGACATGGCCGCGATACAGGCATCCTCGCCGTCTGACCTGTCTACAATTGATCTCGACCGACGATGTGGAGGGTGTCTTAAAAAGTGCACTACCGCAAAATCTATGGACTCTCTCCCCAGAAGAAGCTCAAGAATCATCAAACGCGCTCTTGGAATACATACTACAGGAGCTAACTCGTCGGAAGCTCACAGTCTGAATCTGAACACTCATCAAGACATTTACATATTTCACGAAGCCAGAATTGACTGCTCACCTCGAAGACAGTTATCCCAACCTTGGTCCATCCATTCGAGCTATTGAGCTCGCACTCCGGATTTGGCTCTTTCTACCCCTAGACGACTGGGGAAGCAGAGAGACACTTGAGAAGTACACCTATTCAATATTTCCAAGATCTGATTCTTTACCCGAATACTCCCACATTTGCTCTGAATTTCAATGTTTTGAATCTTGATCAGATTAGTGGATTTAGCATTGTCTGGACGGAGAGCCTTCATGATCATCTTTCCTTAAGCATAGATGAAACGGAGAAGGAATTAAAGGATTTTTCACTGGGCATTCTTTCTCCATGGATATGAAAAGCGCAAAGACCGGTATGAGCCTGTTTGTCTGAGATATCTCTTTCATCCTCTGACCATTCTCAGACCCGTCTTTCCACCAGAGTTCCTCGAAGAAACTGCCCGTACATTATCACTGTTGATCCCGTCATCCAATCTGAAATGTCAACGATGGATCCGCAAGGCTCGCAGGCAGGATGATATTGATCTGGAAGCAGCATATTTGCCTCCCACATCACGAGATCTTGCCTATTTCCCGTACTGGGGTCGAAAGCTCATGGAGATGCGAGACGAATATGAGCGGACGGAACCGACGACGATGCGGCAATGGATCTTGGACAACCGAAGCCCAACCAACATTATACGTTCTGGATTGCTGTGATTGCACTGTTTCTGGCATTAGTTTTTGGATTGATTCAATCGGTAACGGGGATTATTCAGGCTATGCACACCAGTTGACAGGGGCGAAGGTGGTTCTGGTTTTCTCATACCTCGTTTGTATCATTCCTTAGCTGCATACTGTAAAATTACTGTGTTTTGTGCAGCTGAAGGTATCTCGAACGCCCTTGGTTAGTCTCGCGTTAGCTTGAGCAGCCGTTTTCTCGGCGGATTGTGCTTCGGTCTAGATTGTGAGGAGAGCTCTACGGCTCAGTCTCTTTGATTCTCGTGAACAGATATGCCGCGGAGAAGACCGTCAACAATATCTCCTCCCTCACTAGTCCCCCCCCTGAATCTTATTCTGTAGTCACTTCATATACCTAGCTTGAATAACTTGAGGTAGTCTAGCGAATAGCGACGTTGAGCCGCAGAATCACGTCTTATCAAACCTGATTTTCGGGTCCTGATAAGGCAATCGGTCACTTTCCCCTGACGGCCCCGCCGAGATGCACCTGCAGCAATTCCGAGGAGATGGTCGTGCAATCCTTCTTTTCTTTTTTCCATCCCAAGAACAAAGTCAACTAGTCAACAATCCCCTTTCCTCCCCCTAGCCGCTAGTCGTCTGCACATTCCTCGTCGCTTCCGAAACACCGGGTCAGGTAGACGGACATGATAGATATTTTAGACACTTGCCTCCATCGATCCTCGATCGACCCGTCGATCATTGTTATGAGGCAACTAAAGATCACCAATAGACCCAATCAATCGGAACATCATCTGTCACCCCAACGCCCGGAATGCGCCATTTACCTCCAGGTCAAAAAAAAAGCAAGCCGTCCCGAGCTGTCGGGTCGGGGAAGTGGCACAGAACAACTCATTGTCGGGAAACGAGTTGTAGTTGCGTGATTGGAGTGGTAGATTTTCTGCGCTACCGTTAGTCAATGGTGGCACGCACGTCGATGATCACCTATTATCCACATATCGGAACGCACCTGTCAACCCTAAGCTACGCTATTTACTTAAGAAAGAACTAACAAATTCCTTAATATCGATAATCAATGCACCTGTCGCCGATCTCTATGGCTAGGGAGGTGCCTAGAGTCAAGTCTTGACGGGGAAACAATGGAACTCGGTTATATCTTTCCTGCAGCACTTCATGACCCAAGGAACTAGACCCGTGAACTAGTGTTTTGTCTCGCGATTCTTGCCATCGAGATGGTGCTTTGCATCATCCTATTGGTCTCATTTCAGTAGTTCATGATCCAATACGACAGGCAAAGTCGGCCGAGGGCAGATCCGACAAGGATGGCGAGTTGATGGCTCAGTTTGGGAATGTGGTCGATTATAGTGTGGTAGATAGAGAGGACGTCATCCCGAGAAAGAGAAATATATACGAAGGACCAGGCAGCAGAAGAATACGACAATGCCGTGAATCTGAGGCCATGGCAAAGATATTTAAGGAACGCGGTCACATCCGACTGCCAAGGGCCACTATATGTGTAGCACACCAGTAAATGAAGCAATATCAATACCAAGCTCTGTGATCTTGAAACCGTGTCTAGGCTTATCTAGTTTCATGCATGTAATGCCTCAAGTGTATGGCTCCTCACTAAACCCATGTAAGCCCATCCTAATCGAGTAATCCGTCGACTGGACAAACCAAGATACCGGGACTACAAGCATCATGCTATATCCGCGGAAGAATGTTCCTTGGACTTTTCTTACTTTTCCCTGAGCGGCAAAAGCCTCATAGCTGGCAGATGACCAGGACGACAACCCTTCAGCCGCCACCACCGAACAAATTCTCCCACTGGCAGGATGACCCCTCCACCGTAACGGGCTGCTACCAAGCTGGCCGTCACAGCCACGAACGGCTCCGTCGTTACCCACTTCAACACCAATCCCCAAATGACCCATCACCAAAAAGCTCCGGAAATCGGAATGGGTCGCCGAAGGCCTCGAGCGGGGTCGTAGGTGCGCCCATGTCGCACGACCTCCGGCGTCGTGGGCTTCTTCGTTTTTTTCCCTTCTTCCTCGTTTTCTTTAGTTCCTGCCTTTGGGGGCCATCTTGAGAATCGTGATTGAAATGGGGATGAGTTCGTGATGACCGAACAGAGCCGACCATCGCCGTTTGGCTGGTGGGGGGCCACTGGGGGGAGAGATGGAGTGTGAGTGGAGACGGGCAGGCTGGATCATGGACGACAAGAGCAAAATCTAACGAGGGATGTACGCTTTAGGGTAGATCGTAATGATCGCCGGGCTCTTGGCGCCCGGGCTGCTGGAGAAATATGGAGATTGGAGTCTTTAGTTAGCGTAGAGTGGTGTAGTTTGTCAATTGTAGTAGTTGCATAGAGTTGATCTTCTGCCGTGTTCTGTCTTGAGCTCTGGTTTGTAGTGACCATCACCTGTACTCTAATTGGCAGTCGGCAATAGTGCTGTGGATTTGAATCGTCGAGGCCGAGAGCACGCTGGAGACAAAAGTGGAGGTTTTTGTTGCCCCGTTGATGGGAAATGAAGGCTTTTCTAGTACGGAGTAGTCTGTCAGGGAATTGTCAACGCCTCTCGGCGCTTTGAGCCCTTCCTGTTCCTCCTTGATCGACGGTACTGTAGTTTGGTCAGAGGATATTCAGGAGTTTGATCTTCATCGTGACCTGTAGTTTAAAGCCCGAGTCATGAACCAACCAGAGGCTAGCTGAATGATGCTGGATGGACCCGAAGGTTCCGGCTTGATGCTAAGTTTATACAATGTCCTCCATTATTCATGTTAGGGTGAGACTTTACTCTATGATGACCGGACAATGACTATGGAGGTATGTGATGCTCGCCCTAGCTTTAAGCCCTGAGCCTGGACCTGGTTCATGCTGCTCGAGACTGTTGGGCGTCAAGCCTCCTCGTTTCTGCGTTGCGCCCGACTGGAATTACTGGAAATACGTGAGATCAGCCAAGGGGGTTCCGTTCTGGCCCGCATCGGTTCTCCACCTCCACTTCTCCCAGCCATCCCCCCACTACCTTGTCCTCCCCGTAGAAGGTGATAGAAGGGCTGACGGCGGGGACAAAGGAAGATATACTACTGTAGATGCGGATGTGGTCCCCGATCTATCCGCAGGTCCAGCCAAAAATGAATCATAAGAGCGCAAAAAGTGATGTCAATGCAGACCAATGGTGAATCACTCCCACACTACGCTATTCCCATAGAAAGTGAACAAAACCAACGGAATTGAGCCGACCTCTCGGAAAACCTGCTCTTCTCAGAATACGAGGTCATGTGGATTGTCTATTTAGCCCGTTTAGCTCAAAGAGGAATCCGCATGAAGCGCCAGGCACGAAGTGCTTGCGGTCTGAGATGCTGGTTGGCCAATAAAATCAGTACTATGCATGGAGTTTATGGCTAGGTCATTTTCGTACAAACTTGACCTGTTCTCCGTATTTTAAGCAAGTGTTACCTAGAGTGACATATGAGTGTCACCTGTATGGAGGGATTGAGAATATATACTCCATAGCCAAGTTAGGGCTCTGATGCTCCCTCGTCAGAGCTCGTCTTAGGTAAGTTACTCTTTTTTTAAGATTTTCTTTTTTTTTGGCTTATTTTCCCTATCCACATACCCTCTTCCCCATAATTTTCCACAGTAGCCCCCTACGTTCAGGAACGCGCGCATCAGACAACCACGATGTGCGACCGGTGAAAAATCGAGCTGCAGGACGACTCCTCCCCTACAGTAGTCTACTGACTCCTCACTAGGGGCATACCTGGTCGACTCGGCACCAACCGATGGTTCATCTCCACTCCAAACGGGATGACGCGGGAAGAACCTTCAATTGCGGTCCATCAGTGGTCGCGCCCCGCCTGGTGCCAATGATTCAACTTTTCCTGGAATGTAAATGCGTAAACAGAGGATAGCAAACTCAACATTGAGCAAACGTACTACATACATGTATAGTAATCAACATGCTATTATAACACTATTATTACAGAATAGACGTGTGTACTCCGCGATCGGGACGGAGTACGTTTAAAAAATAACTCCGCCCTCACAGCCTACCCCAGGCTCCTTTCATGCTGTTTGAAGCGAGGGCTAGAATTACAGTAGGCCGTGTGTCTCTCGCTCTTTCGCTCTCTCGGGCGCCAAATCTGCGACTCATTCCAATGAACAATGATTGGCTCAAGGCTCTGGGCACATTCTGGTTCTAGTCCTTGGTGACATCCTTTTGTCGGCCTTGTACCCCGTAGGCCAGTCCACTAGTCCTCTAGTGTCAGATCACGGTGCAGGGCGATCTCCTCGGAACAGAACTTGTCTTAATTTCCTTAATTCTGACCAGACGGGGGTCTGGGCCCCATCGGATTGCATTAAGTCGTTTGACCATCATGATCACAGACCACTGGACTGGGGCGTGCTAGCCTGACACAGTCAACCCGACGGGGCCTGTTGGTGGCTACAAGTGGTTGCCCCAAAGGTTGAGCTAGCTATGATGTCCTGTAGCTAAACCACTTGGGCCGACTGGCGAGGAGCTCTGAGCGTAGGCTGGAGATTTTGTTTTATTCTGGTACCTGGGCTCCAAGGCTTTTTGACTACGCCGACTAAGTCAGACTAGAAGGCAACTAGCAGGGATCGCTGCTGAAACTCTCCCGGGTTTCCACTCTGGGGCATCCGGTCTCAGCTGATGCACCGCCCAGAGTCAAAATGGTTAAACAGGTAAAATTTTGAGAGTGCCCCCTCCCTCTTTTGGTTGTAGGCCGCCATTTGGAACAGTCATACGAGAGATGACAAGGTTTCTCATGTTTGCACAGGGCAAGAAAAAGAGTATAGCGGTCGGGAACTCGGGATGAGCAGAATAGTTTGTGGCCGTGCAAATAGATCATCATTTATTCCAGACATCAGACTCGACGAGGAGATTTCCCGGTTAGTCATCCGGCAGATCCTGGGGTTGAAAGCCAGAATAGAATGAGGATGATGGGGGATGAGGGTGTTGTCCTTTTTTGGGTATCTTCCTTGCGATGTAACTTTCCTTAGAAGGATCACCCAAAATATACATGCGGGAAGGGTCATTTTACCTGTCCTTCGCCCATCCGCAATACTCCGTCCTCGCAGCAAAGAAACGTCTCGCCACATACCACCCCCCTTAGGAAGGTCACAAGCTCACCCCATACGACGCCCACGGCCCAAGCACTCGGGGAGATTTCTCAGCTGTCAAAACGTCTTCGGATATATCGTCGATGAAGAGTCTCCCACGCTCGTTGTTACTCCGGGGGGTCGAGTGACAGCCTGCTGATCTGGGTAATTGGGACCGGTCTCCAGAAAGGGCGAGAGAAACACAACTGCATTTTCGTGTCCCCAATAGGTGGAACCCGCAGGAGTACGTACACTCCGAACCCTGTCGATTCCCTGCAGCGGATGTCCGTGCTTGGTCGCTGGAGACGATCTGGCCCACTTACCCCAGATTGTTGGCGTCGTACAAAGGGGGAAAAGTTGCGTAACCGCATTTCAATCTCGGCGGATCATCCTGTTCTCCAGGAAGCGCTGTGGAGGGTGTGCGCTTAGACCCGATGTCGGCTCCGTGTGGGGGGAGAGAGAGAGTGTGTGTGTGTGTGTGGGGATGTTTGAATATCACTGTGTCTCTGCAGTTCACCCATTGTCAGAACTAGGAGGGGTGCACAATTGACCCTCTCGTGCCGTCCCGGAGGAGGGAACCTGACATAGTCAGACCCCCTAATGTAAGGCCCGATAGGCTGGAATTGGGAGCGGACTGGTCAGAGAGTCAGCCTGGGGTGGTTTTAGTCTGGTATTTTATTTTTTTCAGCGCCTGTAAAACCTGCCGCGCTTTCCCCGACCAAAATTTTCTATTAGGGGAGAGCGAGAAGAGGCAAGGGTACCCTAGTCTTAGTTGATCCTAGTGCCGCCTAAACAAGCTCTCAGGACTCAGGAGCGGCCTGGGGAGTTTGCCAGTTTACCTAACCAACCACTCCGTATACCTCCCTCCCCCCACGGCCCTTTGGAGGAAGTACCTGTCTGTCGATACTTGCCCAATAGAGCGAGACTGTGGGGGAATAATTGGTGGCTTTGGTTTTCTAGCTATACGATTCGTCCCTGCAAGCACTGGTTGGGGATGTGAGGCGCCAGTTTGACAAGTATATTCTTGAAACTTCATTTCAGGAGCATATGTACGGAGTACTGGGATTGAGGATTTGGGGTTCAAAGTCCTGGGTGCTTTCGGGGGCTCAGCCCTTTAGGGCCTGGCTGAGGCTATTAATATTTCTGACTACTAACTACTGAAGTCTTGAAGGAGTAATCACGGGGGATATACATGATCATCCCTGGTACTGTATTAGTTGTAGCAAATCTTGTCGAATCTGGGGGAATCATCCTGGATGCAGTGTATACGATGTGCATTTTTCATACATGAAACTGCATACTGAACCCAACCCCAGGAATTCCAGCCGGAGTTTGACATTGCTTGTCCGAGTTGCATGACTTTGTCCGTCATACTATTGACTGCCTGCCACTGAGTCCTTGTCTATGCGGAAGGATGACCAGATCGAGGCCTAGAAGAGAGCATGGGCCGAATGGATGTAGTGGATCGTCTCGGGTGCCCATCGAGTTTACCCGATTCTTCAGGGAATGAATGGGCTTATGGTGCAGGCACCCCCCTCTGCCAGTTATTCTTTGCTAATGGAAAGAGGAGAGTTCGTAACGAGGGAGTAAAAAAGAGAAGAGATTATTATAGGAACTAATAACAATTCAACTAACAGAGAGAGAGAGAGAAAAAGAAACGACGAATAGTGCCCTACATTTGAGGGTTTATACTCTACAGTATAGTGAAGTCGATGCCGCACGATCATGTTGCTTTTTCCCCAGAAAGATTTATTTCCTCTTTTTTTGGATTTCGGTTTTTTAATTTTTGATTTCAATAATTCCATGTTTTCCCCATTCATTTTTTCCTCCCTCTTCTTCACTGCAAATCAGGGCGTCCGATCCAACATGCTTGGCAGCCTCCCCCGCATGCAAAGTTTAAAGCCCTTTCTCGCTCTTCTCCATTCGTATGACCTCAGGTTTTCCATGACACATATCATTCTGTGGTGCAAATGTCTTCCTCGTCCGATTAAACATTCTTATGGGAGCCGCCTCCCCCACACTTTCCTTCGTTTCGAGTCTTCTTCGACTTTTCTGCTCTTCCCTCGTCTGACTTGTTACTCCTTCCTGCTCTGCGCTATTCTTCTTCCTCTCTCTAGTCTCTCTCTGCTCTTTGGCCCCCTCCTCCTCGTTTCTTACAGTTCCCTCTTCCGATCTGCCACCTGATCGGCCAACAGTCCACTAAACAAAAAGTACTGCGCTACGCCTCCCGTCTACTGCCCATAACCCCATTAACCACCTGTCTCATTTACTGGCGGACTAGTATCTATTTAGTATATTAGTATACTGGTATCCCCCTCTCTCCCCCCAAACCGGGCTATACTAGTTGGGTTATTATACTATACTAGTCCTCCTGCGGTTTCCCCTCCCCCCTTCCCCGCCCCGGTTATATTCCCATCCCACCCAACCCTCTCTCTCTCTCTCTCTTCCTTTCCTCCGTCAGCCATTCCCATCCCCTCCCCGATTGCGCCTGGCCTACCGGTGCCCATCACCTGTTCTGGCGTGCTGGCCCATGTTCAATGTTGTCGATGCAGAACTCCCTGTACTTTGCGCGCCCAAATTTCAACGGGTCGGGTCTGCAGGACGAGGCTTGCTCTGGAAACCCTTCGGATATTTCCATCCCCACTCTGGCCGACATCACCAACGCCAACACAACCGCCCACTCGCACACCTTACGAGCCAGCACCTCCAGCACCAGCACCGGTGCCAGCCCCGATGATACCTCCACGGATTCCCCTGACTGGCCTGGCGACTCGGCCGATCGGTCGCTGGCGGATTTAGACGCGCACGCCTCCAGTTATCACCTGTCGCATCGACCCGATTCCTCCTCCTCGACCTTCCTCGATGCGCCGCCGCCCTTCGACATGGACGGCCTCCCCAAGGTGGAAGAGTTGGACGAGGATATCCAAAGCATCAAACCGTCGGATGTGGGGGCAGAGGGGCCCAACGACTCGGCAGCGCCCGTCGCGGTTCCACGGAAACGTGGACGACCACGCAAACACCCGCTCCCTGCACCGGGCGGCCAGGTCAAAGTCACCAAAGGTCGCTCCAAGACCGGTTGTATAACTTGCCGTCGCAGAAAGAAGAAGTGTGATGAAACCAAGCCAGCGTAGGTGGTACCCCGGAAACCCAAGCACCTCGAAATTCCTCCTCCCTCCCCCCCGCCCCCCTCCTTCTCCTCTTCCAGGTGCCACCCGTTCGGAATCGCCGATGGTATGGCTGTATGGTACATGTCTGACCTGGTCGCAGATGTCTCAACTGCCAGAAGAATGCGGTTGTCTGTGAGGGATACCCCCCAAAGGAGATCTGGAAGAGTGGTCGTCAAAAAATAGCCAATGGTATGTGATCCTCCACATCCAAAACCCTAAATTCCAAAATCTTAGTTACCCCATTCCAATCTCGACTTGGTTGGTGCATGCATCTCAAATCTGACACGTCCTCTCCCCCTCAAGCAGTCCGCACCCAGACCCTCACCGCCATCCCTCGCAACCTCCCCCTCCTCATCGATGGCATCGAAACCGATATCGATCGCCGTTTCCTCGATCACTTCGTCTACGGATTCAGCCGAGTCCTGACCCTCATTAACGATGACTCGAATCCGTTCAAGGAGATTCTCCTACCGATGGCCACGCAACATCGGGGGTTGATGCATTCGCTCATGTGCTTGTCGGGGTCACATCTGTCTGGTCTGGATCCGGAGCCCAAGTTGAAAGAGCGCAAATACTTCCATTTCCATCGAGCGATTCAGGACCTCAAGGACAATATCACCGCGACATCATCCCAAACCGCAAGCGCCAGCACGAGCGCGGGCACGGACACGGAACACGAACAGCAGCTACTGGTTGAGGACCCGATCATTGCATCGACCATCGCCCTCAGTCTGAATACGATCTGCGAAGGTGAGACGAATGGCGAGTATCGCCCTCACATGGATGCTGCTCGGTACCTGCTACTCTCGCAGCAGCCACGCAATGAGAAATTCCGCCAGTTCATCGTCGAGTTTTTCCAGTACCACGACATCTCCAACGCACTCACCTCCCTGGACCGCCGCCCCTCGCTTATGCAGGGTGGCCTGCGTCTGCCCGACTTTGTACCTAGTGCCCAAGCGGGCAACTTCCTTGGGGTGTTTGATGGTTTGTTCAACTATATCTCTGAGGTTACCCAGCTACGAGACCGGATCCGTCAGCGGTTCAACGAGGGCTACGAACCAGCCGTGGATTACCAGACTCTCAGTGAGGCCGTTCAGATCGACACGGCGATCCGGTCATGGAAGACTTCACATGAGGAAGAATCCCCGAACTGGTATCTGGCTCAACTATATCGGCAATCGACGTGGGTCTACCTTTACCGGACGATCCGACCCTCACGACCGAGCGATAAGATTTCCCAAGTCGTCGACGATGGGCTAGGCTATCTGGATCAGCTGCCCCAAGATGCGGGTGCCTACAGCATCGTCTTAATGCCGCTCTTCTTGCTGGGATGCTCAGCATTTGTGCCACAGCAGCGCGAGCGGATCAAACGCGGCTTCGAAACTCTCAAATCCTACTCCAACCTCCGCAACATCGAACCTGCCTTCAAGGTTGTTTCGCGGGTGTGGGAGATTATGGACACCAAAATTGAGGACAGTTGGGACTGGGAGAAGATCATCAGTGACATGAATATGGATTTCTTGATCACTTAAGATCCTTCGCTCGATCCTCACCGCGCCTCTAACCTATCTTACCTATCTTACCTTCTACGCCATTGATGTTGATACCCTCTACTCACGTTTTTCTCTTTACCTCTTCACAGTCATCAAATATGGGTCTCCCCGGGTGGGTAATGTGAATGTTGGGACTTTTTAAGCATAACGGTTGTTTCTTCAGGAGGTTGTACTATGATGTGTGGCGTTTTGCTCGGTTCTTGTTTGCGTGATATCTCTTGTTCTTGTTCTCTATGAACCATGCATCTGCATTTGGAAAAGGCGGAGGGCATAGGAGGCCCAACTGATTTGAGTTTATTTTCGAAGTTCTTATTCTGTTCTGATGGCGGGTGAATTGCAACCCGTGCGTGACCCCGCAGTAAGGAGGGGAAATGTGGAGGAAGCACATGATACGAGCGAGAGATGCACACAGAGGAGGGCAATGGTCGAACAGGCTTGAGTCCTTGACCGCTTGATTCTAATCCCTTTTCTTCTTCCTTGTCCGCCCTTTTTCGTGGAGAGAAACGTGTACATCATGGTTCTGTACATTTCCCCCGCTGTCTGTACAGGGGGGTCATACACAAAGTCAAAAAGCAAAAGCCAAAAAAAGCACTTCTGGTGTTCTAGTCCTGGGGACGGGGAAACCTGGTATTAATTGTGAGATCTAGCGTCAGCTATATCATCTCTACCTAATGAAGGGGGCGTTTTGTTGTTCCCTGGATGGACGATTGATGGGACTGAGGTTTTCCTGAATATGCCTTTTTTACCACGGGTCTGTGTTGTATATATCCCTTTGCTTCTGCTGTGTATGTATTGCCTGCAATTGGAAGCTGTGAATGTCTGTATACTATATCGAATGCAAAAATTATGATTATGTGTCAATGTTAGGATTGAGGGCGTTGTCGTTGAGTTTGAGTTAGAGTTTGGGCTCTACCTTTTGGGTTAGGAATGTAAACTCTCCTTCACCGTTCAATGGTTTTGTACGTAATGAGGCTGGATCCAAAGACTGGTCACGAAGATGGCTTATTTTTATCGGAGCACCACGTATTCTATTTGACTGTCTTGGTCTGTCAATGTGAAAGTTGATAGAAGCTCAGAGTATGATGATTTTTGTCCATACACAGCATTATTAGTCGTTCAGAAATACACACCTGAGCTCCAATTGAATGGAGCAGAAATCGGAGATACTTTTGCTTTGTGTCCAAACGCTGTTAGTATCTTATCTAGTGATACAGGTCTATCCGCCTTGGTTCTGGCCTAGTGGCATTGAGACTTACTGCTGATGAACTGCTTGATAGCCGAAAGCCGGACGCCGTCGGACTACTAGTCTATGGATTCAAGAATACTGCATCTTTGGGCTCAAGTTTTGCAGAAATAATAAACATCGCTCGCCCTTCCATTCTTCTGCGAATTTTGCTATATAAAATATGGTTCCATTGCTCCGAGCCTCACAGTGTCAAGAGACATCTGATTATGGCGATGACGACTTCCCTCATTAGGGCGCGGATACGATCCATGGATGGGTCTATCGTCAATGACTCCTCATGTATATCAAGAGTATATCAGCAACTTCACCCATGGAACGGACTGCACCGATTAGGATGCGGGCCAGTCTTTTGAAGTCGCCTAAAGCTGATAATAGTGTCACACCTACGACAATGTTGACCTCCCGTCGCCAGACCATCATTGTCCTATCCGTCAACCCCAGAAAACATCACCACACAGCCAACCTCAGCCCCAATCATGGAGTTAATCTACGCTCCCCCAATTCCCCGCGCCTTGAAGCTCAAGATCGTGCCTTTGAGAGGAGACCAGCAATCCTACCCGCCAGTCATGAACGGCGGACGACAAATGCGTCGAATCGACAGTAACTACAACCCATCCTCCCCCACCCCAAAAGCACCATCTTCCTAACAACCCTCACCAGAAACCACCTCCGACGCATGGGGCCCCCCAATCTTCGCCAACCGCCGCGCCTCCGTCGAACCCCGAATCACCGCCCAAAACGAAGACATGTTCCGCACCTTCCACCCAGCCCTCCGCTCCGAACCCGAAGTCTTCGCCCTGACCCGGAAAACCAACAACACCCAAGTCTGGCTCATATTCCCCCGCAAAGGCGACAGCGGGCCGTTCACGCACGTGGGCGGCCGGCCAGTGCATACCCAGCCGTATTTCGAGACTCCTACTGAACACGGAATGAGATACGCGATGAACAGGGAGGATCCGATACAGCGTGATATCGATGTGCATGAGCCGTTGTCGGTGGAGGACTTGGGGCGGATTAAGGCGGTTTTTCCCCGGGCGACTGGGATTCAGATCTTTCAGTGTGAGTGTGTGATTGTGTTTTTCCAGGGAAGGGAGGATATGGTGCGGTCTTGGGAGAATGGGACGCCGCTGAGTATTGGAGGGTTGATGGTTGGATATCGGTGTTAGATTCAATCTGGGTGGGAGGTGTTTTATTATCGGAGTTGGAGGTATGGTAAGGCTGATCACAGGATTTGCTGTATCCCTTTTCTTATCAATATGAAGAGGGCAGAATGCACCGAATGAAGATTGGCCTTGCGTAACCTGGTGTACTAGGGTGAGTAATACTCTCTGCCTTGCCAATGTAGCAATGCAACATAATACAGGAACTAGGGAATCTTAGCATTAGGCCCCAGAAACAATCAAAGAGTGTAGCTGACACCGGTGTCCAGAAGGGACTATAGTACCAAATGCTCCGTCTGGTAAAGATCGCCTAAACGTTGCACTTGATTTATCTGTATGCTTACGTGTGTGTGTGAAACTCACTTAAATGTCCATTTCTGTTTACATATAGGGAGAACATACAAGTCATGCTCTCTGCCCCAGACTCTCAGTACATCATGCTGATACTGCTGGGTCAATCTGGCGCGCGATGTAAACGAGGTATCGGCTCTCATCGGGAAAGCTAGGAATATCAATCGTGGCCGTGCTAATCCATCTTGAAGAAACATTCCACTTCGTCCCTGTCGTCCTGCCAGCCTCGTCCCACAGCTCTTGGAACGTCTCGGGGTTATGTAAAAACCGTGTGCCTCCGGTCACCGTAGTAAAGTTGCCTGGCTTTGAGCTACCAATCTGGCCTCCAAGGACAATCGCATCTGTAACACCTGGTTTTAAAAACTTGATCATTCTTGTCGCAGCCAACACTTGATTGTCCCAGTCGAACAAGTGGAAAAAGTTCCCCGCACTGATAAGCGTGACCTTGCCGTCCAACTTCTTTGACCCTTCATCACTGGGGTCAAGCAAATCGGCGGCAACGAACGAATCAGGTCCAAACTTCTCACGATCATTAAACAGTTCAAAGCCGAGGTCTAGAAATTCTGGGGAGAGATCTGTCCCGAACAATCTGGCCGGATCGACGCCATCGAAAGCTAATTTGCGCAGAACCTGTCCGACGCAGCAGGCCACATCGAGGAATGCATCCTGTGACTCAGGTTGCTTAAGTCGCTTGACGATGGCCTGAAATGAGGGATGGTCGAGCCCTTTTATATTGGTGAAGGACCAGCGCCCGATGCACGGGTAGGCGTGGATAGCCCAGCCTTTGTCGCGCTGCGAAGAAAGTCAGTACGCGGTTTTTGGGTTAAAAAAGAGGGATAGGGGATGCCTGCAATGGAATAGAGATGTTCATCCACCTTTTCAGGTGGGATATTGCTGTAATTCTCCAAAAGCTCTCGGAATGGACCGATATCGTCTGGAAGACCTTCTGTGTAGTTCTTGGCTTTCCATCTGAGGGCTCGGGCAGCCGAAGTGTCCGTCGTCATCTTTATGATAATGGAGTAATTGTTGATGTTTACAATTCCTGGGATTCGTCAACAGCTCTCTTGTCGGAAATGTGTTGAGATATTTGACAAAAGTTGTGGATAAAGACTGAAGTGGGGTTGACGCGGTTACAACTGTTATGGCTCTAGCGCCGGCGTTATAAAAAGCCGAAGTCCCTCACCTCTGTTATCTCAGTTGCAGCCATTACCAATACACGATGGAGTATCTGTTATGATACATGATCTTACCGATCGAAGTGCTGGCTCAAAATCATACCCAAATCTAGATTGTAGAGGCTTGAAGATTTACATTCAGAGAGACTTAAGAAACAGCAGGAGCATTCATGAAGCGCTTTGCTACACAGGTTTATTGCGGTGCAAAATCCCTGAGACCCATCGCGTACTTTATCCAAGCCCGATAGCAACTATCCCATGTCCTCCAGGATATAGAAATCGGGTCTGCTCTCTATAAATGACTCTATTATACATGATTTAACTGATCGTCATCGGATGTGATGTTGGTAGCATTTCCTGAAAGCTGCAGGTGGCTTTTGTCCACAAAATTAGTCCTTTCTCCCCGTCGTAGCCAGCAAGTTCGAACAACATTTGGTGGCGACGGCAAGTTCCCCACGTCTTTGTTGGTGAATAGGCTCTGCAGACGCTTTACAGCAGCGCCTATGCCAACCATAACACACTGTATGATACCTAGCCCTCCGCCTGGAGCTACTATATCCAGGGAGGTACTTTCTAGAACGCGAAGCATAACAGCCGTGCTGTTGTGGACCGCCAGGGTACTCAGCGGGACTACTGGTCTTATGGGCGATGGATCGATGCGGATGTGATTACTCGTGCTGCTACCAATGTCACCTATCGTTAAGAGAAGATGTTTGGGAGGGAGCCAACAATCTTGGTTGACGCTAACAGGCCATCGGCCGCCATGCACCACATAATCAGATCAATTTACTCCCTAGATTAATCCCCTTGACGATCCTGTGCTCACTTAAGAGTCTGAGATAGTCAGTTATAAAGCCCTACCATCACATCGCGTAGGATCCCCCCTGGAATCGCTTCGCGTCGGTATTGCCGTAGCGCGGAGTTACCCCGAGTTGGTCCCGCAGCTTGCGGTACCCGTCACTCTGATTTCCCGAGGTCGGCTTTTGTTATCCCGAGATGCCACCCCACGTTTGGGGGGTGGTCCGTCCACCCCTCTTATTGTCCATTGCGCCCAGAAACATTCCACACCTTTTCGCCTCTTTCAAAATCGATTTTAGGACGGAAATCTAACACAATGCCTTTCTCTACTGCCATTCGCACAAGCCTGCAGGGCTCTACGCCAGCCTTTGGCTTCTGGCTCACGTACGTTCAATCCACTTGACTCGGATCGAAGTCCGGTCATGCAACCCCTTCGTTAGAGGAGAGGAGAAAAGGGAGTTTCTACGGGATAGTGGCTAACTAAAATATACAGCCTGCCTAGCTCTGGCCTTGCTAAGACTATTCTTCACGGCGCTTCCGGATCTTCAACGAGGTTTAGCTGGGTTCTGGTTGATGCGGAGCACGGCTTGATCTCCGACCAGCACTATTATGACGTGGGTGAACACTATGGGTCCGAGACAGTGATGCAGTGATCTAACAGATAACGTTCAGTTGAATAACGCCATTGGCCATGAGTCTGCTAGCCCCATCATTCGGGTGCCCTGGGGAGAAGAATGGATGATTAAGCGTGCTCTCGACTCCGGTGCTCACGGTATTATGACCCCTATGTGCCACTCTGAAGTGCGTATCTGCCCAATTAGAAACTGCTTTGCTCGAAGGAGAAACTCACAGTGAATTCTTTGCCCACCACAGATTGATGCAGCCAAGATTGTCAAGTACACTCGTTATCCACCCCAAGGCACTCGCGGTTATGGCCCCATGTTCGCGCCTCACTCTCTCCCCGGAGTTAACCCCGGTGCCGAGTACGACGACCAAGCGAATGCCAGCGTGACCGTGTGCGTACAAATCGAGTCACGCCCCGGTGTCGAGAATGTGGAGAAGATTGCCGCTGTGGACGGCGTTGATGTCCTCTTCATTGGTCCCTTCGATCTCTCTAAGCAGATGAACGTTACTCGCGGTGGTGAGGAGCATGAGGCTGCTATCAAGCGGATTCTGAACGCCGCCCACAACGCTGGCAAGAAGGCTGCTATTTTCTGTACGTGGTTTCCCGGAGAGGACTCTTCAACTATGTTGAGAGATAAACTAACAAAAACACTTCTAGGCACTGACGGCAATGATGCTCGCGCCCGTGCCCAGCAGGGCTTTGATATGATCTCTGTTAACACCGATGTTGGTGTGATCCGGGCTGGTATGCTGAACGAGCTTAAGACCGCCAACGGGGAGGAAGTGCAGGGAGGTCCTCGTCAGGGGTATTAAATATAGTTGAAAACCTATATATTGAATGAATGTTATAGATGAGGGCCATTTATAATACTAGCAAAAGTCTATTCGTTGGCCCAATGTCCTTTCCTTGTAGGATTCGCCATGATGCGGTCTAACAGTGTCATTATGCTGAGATTGCTTCACATATTTCACATATCAGAGGTCACACTAATCAGATATCTGAATTGATTCGAGTATACCTGAATCCAGCCTATTACATTCATCACATGTCGGCGCTCTTCCCATGTAGATCAACGCTAGCTAGCTGATTGGTCGGCCTAAATGTCTACAACATCCTATTTAGGCAAGACCGAGCTTGCGTATTCGTCTTTTGACTAGCTCTTATTTCCATTCTTCTACATAGTATATCTACAAAATCGTGAGCCATGAATCAGTCTTGCTCTCTTTAGTCCTCCTTGCAGAAAACCTAACGTATGCCCGTTATTTGAGACGAGCATCATCACCACTTCTATATCACACGACCTGATTGGCCAATTTGGGTTCCTCGCTTCGAAGCAAATGCGCCACGTGTGCTGAGTCAGTTGGGACGTAAAGGAACCTGACCAATCAGAATTGTCGCGCGTGACGGGACAGTTTATAGTCCGGGACTTTGGTGGGCTGGCGGCCCGGGGGACTTTCCCCAAAAGACTACTGCGCTTTTTGTTGGCCTGTGAAAACATCGTTGCGCCATGTGAGAGATACCAACTCCTAACACGAGTCCTTACGCTCAGCGGAGTCCCTACGTTGGACACCTCCAATCGGCGATCTTGATATCATTCGATCGGGGGCTTAATTGAGGGCAACTCAAGATCCAGTCGAACTTTGCGAGTGTCTGGAAATGACGTATTATTAGGCGAAACGGCGTTTTGAAGCTATCCGAAGCTGAAGCTGACTCTCGCCTTTGCAATGGAGAAGGACGAGATACTCGCCGACCTTGCTGTTCAGAAGGACGCTGGCTTCGACACGATCCTTCACGATGCAGTGTACAACTTATCACTGCGCGCGGTCAATCCCGTGGATGTCAATGTGACCGATCTCTCTCTTGATATCAACACCGCTCCCTCACCGTGGGAGACTTCGCCATCCCAACTCTGGCATCGTCTGCGCGGGCAGAAACCGGAAGTTGTGTCGAAAAAGGTCCTGAATGGTGTTAGTGCAGCGATGCCAAGTGGCAGCTTGACTGCCATCATTGGAAGTAGTGGATCTGGCAAAACGTCTCTTCTCAACTTGATGGCTGCTCGCATGTCCCTCTCGCGGGCAACTGTTGCTGGGGGCACGACCTTCAATGGAGACACCGATATCAACAGCGTCCGCAGTGCCTATGTTATGCAAGAGGATGTTCTCATTCCGACTTTGACCGTTCGCGAAACTCTGCGATACTCGGCCGATCTCCGTCTCCCACCACCGACCACCCAGGAAGAGCGCCATGCCATCGTGGAGCAGGTTATCCTCGAACTGGGACTGAAGGAGTGTGCCAATACTCGCATTGGAACGACCGCGCATAAAGGCTGCAGTGGGGGTGAGAAGCGGCGCACGAGTATCGGTGTGCAGTTGCTTGCCAATCCATCGGTATTGTTTTGCGATGAGCCGACTACAGGACTCGACGCAACCAGCGCTTTTCAGATCATCCGAACCCTGAAGCGACTCGCCCAAGACGGTCGCACCGTCATCGTGTCTATCCATGCGCCTCGCTCTGAAATTTGGAGTCTCTTTGACAATGTGATTCTCCTGGCTCGTGGGTCGGCACTGTATAGTGGCCCAGTGAGCGAGTCGTTGGTGCACTTTAAACAATGTGGGCATATTCTGCCTCCTTTTGTCAATCCAGCTGAGTTCCTCATTGACTTGGCTGCCGTCGACAATCGGACCGAGGAATTGGAAGCAGCGTCTCATGTCCGCGTTGATAATCTCCGCCAGGCATGGCAATCTCGCCCTAGGCCAGATGCGACGGAGGGTAATGCCGAAAAGAAGTCCCTAGCGAAGCTGGCTCTAGAAGGCGACGACACCGGTGCCATGAAGAAAGTCTCGTTTCGCCGCCAATTCCGTGTTCTCACTTCGCGAACTTTCACCACGACTATCCGCGATCCAATGGGTGTTGCTGGTAGTCTTCTCGAAGCCGTCGGCATGGCTGTGATTAACGGCTGGATATTTCTACAGCTTGACGAGAGTCTTGCGGGTATCCGTTCACGACAGGGTAGTCTGTACACTGCTAGCAGTCTGAACGGATATCTGATCTTGCTATACGAGACGTACCGCCTAACCATCGACATCCGTCTGTTTGACCGAGAACGCAATGAAGGTGTGGTTGGTGTCCCGGCATTCCTGTTGAGCAGGCGAGTCGCCCGATTTCCACTGGAAGATCTTCCTGTGCCCCTGCTTTTCTCCATCATCTATTATTTCATGGTGGGCTATCGACTCGAAGCAGGACAGTTCTTCACCTTCTTTGTGCTGACCCTGCTCACGCATTATATCGCGGTGACATTTGCGGCGGTGTCTATCGGCGTCGCGAGGAGCTTCCCCGGGGCAAGCCTTGTTGGCAACATGTGTTTCACGCTGCAGTCGTTCGCCTGTGGATACTTTGTGCAGTCCCAGCAGATCCCGGTGTATGTCCGGTGGCTCAAGTGGTGCGCTTACACTTTCTACATTTTCGGGGCACTGTGCGCGAACGAGTTCATTGGTACCGGAAATTCAAAAATTGGGCATTTTTATGACTGCCCATACTCCAAGGACCTTCTTGACCCGGCATGCAGAGAATATACGGGGCAATACATTATGAACAGCCTGGGACTACCATCCAACTGGATTTGGCGACCAATTGTCATCCTCGTGGCATTCACTCTCGGTCATTACCTGCTTGCAGGTCTATTGCTGCAATACAATCGCTTTGCGATCGACATTGCGCAAGCTCGGAAATCGGATGGCGATCTATCAGCGAAAAAGGCCAAGATCGCGATTCGCCCTGCCGAGAAGGCCCGGCAGGTAGCCATCTCGTTAGACAAATACGCTCTTGAGATTCGAAAGCGTCGACTGCCATGGCAGCGCAAACAAAAACTCCAAATTTTGCAGCCAATCACCGCAGAATTCCAACCAGGGGAGTTGAACATCATCATGGGTCCGTCTGGTAGTGGCAAGACATCACTCCTCAACTCGATTGCTCGCAGGCTGCATGGCTCAGCTAGCACGCAGTACCGTGTTACCGGGCAAATGTTGTACAACGGGGCCGTGCCGTCTGAAAATGTGATTCGCTCCGTGACCTCGTTTGTCACCCAAGACGACGATGCCTTGATGCCTTCGTTGACTGTACGTGAGAGCCTGCGATTCGCAGCAGGCTTGCGGCTGCCAACATGGATGACGCGCGAAGAGAAGAATCGCCGAGCCGAGGAAATCTTGTTCAAGATGGGCCTCAAGGAATGTGCTGATAATCTCATCGGTAGCGAGCTGATCAAGGGTATTAGTGGAGGCGAGAAACGCCGAGTGACTATTGCCATCCAGATTCTTACAGACCCCAAAGTGCTTCTGCTGGATGAGCCCACGTCGGGACTCGATGCTTTTACCGCAATGTCCATCATCGAAGTGCTGCAGGGCCTCGCAGCCGAAGGGCGGACGCTCATCATGACCATCCACCAGTCGCGATCGGATCTGTTTAGCCACTTTTCTCAGGTCCTGCTTCTAGCTCGTGGTGGCTTTCCCGTATATGCTGGCCAGGGACAACAGATGCTCTCGCATTTCGCGAACTTGGGCCATGAGTGTCCAAAGACGACCAACCCGGCAGACTTTGTGCTCGACCTGATCACGGTCGATCTACAACAAGAGGACCGAGAGGCCATCACTCGTGAGCGCGTCCAGCAGCTTATTTCTCGCTGGACCGACGTAATACCACAACTAGGGCGAACGTCGTCTCGGATTGCGACTCCGGCGGAATTGGGTAGTTTGAGACGGCAAATGTTGCCCTTCCGTGTGACATTCCCGCTCGTACTACACCGATCCTTCCTCAACTTCTGGCGCCAGCCGCCATTGGTGATGGCCCGGTCGATGCAGATCGTAGGCATTGCGATTATCATGGCGTTGTTCTTTGCGCCGTTGAAAAATGACTATGCAGCGGTACAGTCTCGCATGGGATTTGTCCAGGAGTTTGCGGCTTTGTACTTTGTTGGTGAGTTATACTTTTTCTTCTCTATTATATCAATGTTATATCAAAACTAATAGGGTATAGGGATGCTCCAAAATATCGCAATCTACCCGAACGAGCGGGACGTCTTCTACCGCGAAGAAGCCGACAACTGCTACTCTGCCGAGACATTCATTCTAGCCTACACAACCATCGAGATCCCCTTCGAGATCATCTCGTCGCTCGTATTCGGTGTGTTAGCCGCGTTCGCTGATAACCTGAAACGCAGTGCGCAAATGTTCCTCATCAGCGCCTTCAACTGCTTCTGCATCATCAGCTGCGGCGAGTCCGTGGGAATAATGTTCTGCACGCTGTTCTCGCACGTTGGATTTGCAGTCAATGTCACCTCGATTCTCCTATCAATCTCGACCATCCTCGGCGGCGTGATGAGCCTGAATGTCAATGATGTTTTGCAGGGCCTGAATCACCTTTCGCCGATCAAGTATGCCATCGCCAACTTGGCACCGTACTCGATGCACGGACAGACGTTTCATTGCACCCCGTCGCAGCAGCTGGCGGATGGCAGTTGTCCTATCAATACGGGCGAGCAGGTGCTTGCGCTGTATAATCTGGACAAGAATGGGCCTATGAATGTGATGGCGCTTGGAGTGTGCACGATTATCTATCGCTTGGTCGCGTATGCATTTCTGAAGGTAATGCGGTCCCATCGGATGATGGAGCGTTGGCGCGAGTGGCGGCAGTCGAGACAGTCGGCTTAATATCGTTGTTTCTTTTACGTTTCCATCATCAGTTTATACCCCTTGCGTGTCGTTGAATCAGAATCGTGATGAATTTCCAGATATTTTCTCTTTGTATTCTATCCTCTCGTAGTGGTCGGGACGTATGACTTGACCTTGACCATCCCCAATATCAAGGAGGATTCTTTAGTCTCTATGGTCTCCTCGTCGGAAGCCGCCGGCATGTATACAGAGGCTTTTGGCAGGGGGCCACCACAACAGACGACGCCACCTTCCGATCGGATATTGTTAATGAGCCTTGGAACGCTAACTAGGTACCCAATGAACAGATGACCAATCATCAGCGACCGGGTGATTCCACCCTGCGAAGGCTTCAATTTGTCAAAATCGGGTAGTGAACTCAGGGACGCCGTATACATTCTCTCTGCGACCGACTCTCGCTATGCCGAGTCAGCCTAGTAATGTAACTATCGCCTTGTCCTTTCTCCATCTGAATCCCAAATCCAAGTCCAAATAGAGTCAATAAAGTTTCGCCGGAGGGGTGTTCTCGGCCTTTCTAGTGCAGGCCCCAAAATTTAGCGGGCTCTTGGCAGAGATCCCAGTGGGAGAAGCCCGGCCGAACCCTCGTCTTGAATTTCCAGAAGTGCCGTTCTTTGTGGTTATCCCAATGAATTTAATCTTACCCGAGTCTTTCACCGTTCAGTCTTTTGAGGTGAAAGTAGTCTGATTGGCGGAGCCAGTCCAAAAATGTATTGCGCCGAACGGTTCGCCCAAGTTTCAAGTCCATCCGGACCGAACAATCTCACCAAAATGCAGTCCTCTCACTCAGCAAACCAACACCCGGCATAGTCTGGTCGGACGGAACCAGACTTGACAATCAGGAACGACTGGCCACCAATGCTTCTGAGTGGCCTGTACCTTTTTAATTTCCTTTTTTTCCCCTTGTGACAGTGGGGTCAGCGAGGCACCACCCGAGAGAATTAGTTCAGGAACAGTGGTCACAAGCACGGATGCTCCTTCTGCATCAGGCACCATGTCCATTGTCCACACCTTTTCACGCCTCCAACCACCGGCGAACCATGCCTTCGAAGAATAACGCCCTGCCTGAAACAGGACACCCATCCCGGTGACCTTGGATCGTCCATCATTCGCTGAACCCTTGGCTCAGTGGAGTCCGCGACACGTCGCCCTGATCTTCTTAAAGTCCCTCACAAACGGCCCGCACACCAGTCCTGCCATCCGACTGGCGGGTTAGAACTGGGGGCTCTGCGAATCGCGCACGCACAAAACGGTGCAGCGGAGCCTGAAAGTCTGACCAACCAGTTGAGAGACTTGTCAAGGCGCTAGTGGTAGATCCACGAATCGGAGAGCGAGGAAGACAAGGCGGGGCTGGTTAGGCTGACGATCGAATCGGGGCTTTTGTGCTGGCAGGGGTTGCCTGTCTATCATCTGGTCTAGATTGAAGGATCACCGGAGGGGAGGGAGTATGGCTGATTTCTTGGTGAGATTTTGATTTTTCTGGTTGTTTTGTGTTGCGCGCGGTTCCACCAAACTCTTTCGTCGAAGGCCAATGGGAGTTTGGGACAGTCATTTTGTTCTTTGTATGGGTGAGAGATTTTTGTTTCGTGTCTTTGGTATCTGTTCAGGGTTTTGGGGCGTGGACAGACTTTTGCTCATACCTTTGTTCTCTTTGGAAGCGAGCCGTTATCGTAGACGATACGATGGAGGGTTGTAGTCGAAGATCGAGCTATTTGAGGTATTACTGCAAGGCATACAATGGAAATGCACATCAATATAAAGTCAATCATGAATGTGATCATTCAATCTCTATAAATCTATCTCAATCATCCCCTATATAAAACTCCAATGAGAAGATCCTCGAATCTTCCCATTTTCCTGATCCGGGGGGTATTCAAAAAATGGGCATCACAAAAAGATTCATCATAGCTCGTAGACGACGTCCTGCCCCGGCGGGAAATCAACCGCTCATTGGAGGGGATAGATAGGCATGTCGAATCAACCGAACATGTTGGTCCAAAATGAACAGAAAATGGGGCCACCGACTGGGGTGGAACGAAGAAAAGCTCGGAACGAGACGAAACAAAGAAGTGAATCACCAACCCGGAAAGGAGGGTTTAGGCGAGACGAGAAGAAAAGACCCATGAAGGAGTGCTCGGGTCAACCGGCAGGTTGGATTGCTTAGAAAAAGGTGGAAATCCACGAAAAGAATGTGTTTGCAACCAATTTACTGGCCGATAGTCAAAGCCAGGCCGGTGTTGATGGGGCAGCCGTGAGTGGCGTGGTCATCAGTGGGAATGAGGTAGGCAGCAGAGCAAGCATCATCGCCAGCCTTGCAGACGGCCGAGGGGCACGTATTGGTCGAGTCAGTGGGCAGGACAGCAAAACCGTACTCGGTGAACTCGGAGCCAGCGCCCATGTTGATGCAAGAGAGATCCCAGAAGATAGTGTCGGTGGCCTGGGTGTACTCGAACTGGAGGACATCAGACTGGTTGGGGTCGGTGGCCAGCTTGATAGAGACACCACCGCCGTTGGGGTTAGTCCTCCAGGCCTCGCTGTAGGTACCACCGTTGGCAGTCAGGATCTGCATGGGACCGACAACGTCGGTGACGGACCAGGCGTAGACGTCTTGGCTCAGGTTGTTGGTGATCAGGACGGAGCCACCAGCGGGAACGGTGTTGTTGCGGCGGACCATGTTATTCATGCCAGAGGGGAGGGCAGAGGCCAGAGCGGCGAAGGCAGCGGCGATGCCGAAGGTCTTGGTGAACATCATTTTGATATGAAAAGACTGTGGGAAATCTAGGTAGATTTTTGTTTGGGGTAGAGAGAGTAGTTCTGATCGACAGATCTATAAAGAATGTAATCGAGAATCGATCTCGAAATGAAAGGCAGGTACCCGAAGGTTTGGAAAGAAAGTGGTCTTCAGAGAGAGAATGAGAGACTTGATTGAAGAAGAACAGAGAAAGAAAGGAATGAACACGGCCTCTTTATAACTTTCGACAGGGTCCTACTCAGTCGCCCCGGATAGGTACCGAACAGGAAAAAAACCGTGTGTGGGTCGGGCCATGCAACGGTCAACCATGGACTTGATCGAGGAACAAGTGGACAAGTGGATCCCCGGCGCGAAAGGCAAAAGAAAAAGAAAGAGTGGGCCAGGGTAGAGGCAAGCGGCGAATCATAGTGGGCGGGATACCAGTGACGAAGGCCCTTGGCCTAAGGTCGCATTAACAGGGTCTTTTGTTTCAATTGATGGACATGTCTGGACTCTATTAGCCGGAGGGTCAATCGCCTAGGGTATGCCTGGCAAATGAGAGGAATCGGAGGTATAGACAAGGACAATGGGATAGATTCTACAACACTAATCTCGTATATCAACTTGTCTACCAGCCTAATGTTAATGTGCGGTGTGATGAGAATCAATAATTGACGTGTCTGATAGTCTATGGGCGGTAAACAACACGGTGAGTCACTTGAAGAAGTGTTGTTCAAGGATCTGATGTCCATTTTGTATGTAGACAGGCCAGATGAGTACTGGCCGTGGATAAATGAAAAGTCCGTGAGAATTACGGTCAGCACACACCCACCCCATAGAAATACGGGAGAGCCACCACCAAAACAGCCGTGGCAATAGCCACTCCACGTCATCCCTTCCGCGCCTATCCGCGGTTCTTTCCCAACCGATTTTCTCCAGCGGCGAACGAGAAAAAAAGATGAAGAAAAAGAAAAAAACAGTCTTGACGGCTCAGCTCTCATCCCATGGCAACTCCCCTCGGCAGTAGCCATATCCTTTGACACATGCTTTGCCCTCGGGGACCATCTGAACCATTGAACCCTGATGCCCTCAAAGCCCTCAAAGCCCTTCAAAGAAAGGGTGCCCCCAGTTATATACTTAGAAACTCGCCTTTCAGGGTTCCATCCCATGGATAGAGACTTAGTACTACTTACTAACTTCGCTTGGGGAAGCTAACTACCAATATTCGGCCCTTCTCAACTGACATGCCCGCCATTTGCCATTTGCCATTTGCCATTTGCCATTTGCCTCCCCTTTGCCATTACAGCATGGCTTACAGTATAATCCTACACTTCCTAATGTGCAACGGGATTGTCAATCTGACTGGTGTATCCGAAACCTGCATGAATCGGATCTTCGCCGTCCAAAATGTTCGACCTGTCCCACTCTTTTTTTTCTCCCGCGCCATCTCCTCGAGTCTATGAGACGAGCTCGACATGTTAAAACCCACTTACTCTCGTGCAGTGACCTTCTCGTTCCTGAATATCGCCGTGGCCCAATTCCACTCGTAGAAATTTTCTTTTTTTTTTTCTTCTCTTGTTTACCCACATAGGTGTGGTCCATCTACTCCACCCCCGATGCCTCTGACGTTGCAGGGCTTTTGGGTACCTGTCGATCTAAGCCTGGGCTATGGAGGATTGCGGTGGCAATGCGTGGTTTTTTTCTGGTTCTTGCATTTCTCCGTGGACTTTTACTCGTTGTTGATTTCTATTTTGTTCAATTTTATTGTTATTAGTGATTATTACTGGCATCGATTTTCAATATTGACTTGTCGTTTCTGAGTTGTTTGGTGGCCCATGCTCCCCCAAAAGCTCGACAGTAACAACCCTGAAAACCCCTGGACCGCTGGACCAGTTCGTTGATATCCAACCTAAATGCAGTTCATACTTTCAATATGTCAGTACTACTAAACAATGTACTTGTCATTCATTCTACTTTCTCCTAGCTTGGATATGATGCCCTACGATCTATCTTCGATCGCGCGACAGTAGTCCCGGCCTTAGCCTGCGTCCGTCCCACGGCCAGTGGCTTGACAAGGCGAGTGGGCCGACTAGGCAGGTAGCAGTTAACAGTCCCTATGATCGCAGGGCAAGCCCGTTCTTTTCACCGAGGGGGGAACTCGGAATAGGGCTTGAATGGGGCCTGAACGGGCGGCCCAACCGCCAGGATGGACGATCGCTTCCCCTCTCTCTTTGCCCACTGTGCCCACTTT